GTTCTTCCTGGCCCTGCACATGGAACTGGAAGCTAAGCTTTCAGATAATGCTATCATGGAGGTCTTGGACTTCAATCTCTTAACTAGCAGCCTAAATTTGGCCTGCAGGACCTCTTTTCCCTATGTCATTGATACCTACATGTACCACAGCCCCTGGCTCCTCCTCAGCAGCCTTCACACCCAGCAGGCAATTTACCAAGCAGTTTTTCTGATAATCAGAAACACAACTATCTGTGTTTATGATAATCAAATCCTCTATTACTGTTATCCGGCTCTTCCTAGTAACTGGGGTTCTTGTCTCAGGAGGGGTATCCTCAGTGTGAGAGGATACCATGACACCATCTGGAAGGAGGGTCCTAACTATTGGATTGTTTCCCTGTGCTCCAGCTTGATGATATCCTTCAAAGACTTTCATCCTCCTTAATAACATAGAGGCTGTCAGAGTGGGGATGGGACTGTTCTATTGTGTGGTGGAAAGTCTCATCTATGTACCTGTCTTCTTGATCTGGAGTTCAGCCACTCTGGCCTTAAGAGCCTGTGCTGTGTCTCTGAGGACCATGAGCTGTTTGCACTGCATGCACACTCATTTCACCTCCCCAAAAGGCAGGTAACTGTACATGCCCCATTCAAGCAATTAACTGGATAGCCCCACTCTGCTGATGGACTTCTGCCTTCATTATTTTTACTCTTGCAGGCTTTTGCGGGGTCAGGTTGGGGGATGGACAAAGTGGGGAGTAATTGGCTTAAGTTTAAAATATGTTCGTTAAGTAAATCTGCCCACTTCCTCTCTAAACTCCCCTGTTCGCCGCTCCTCTGGCTTTTTAAACCACTGATCTCCCTGAGTTAGCCCACCCCCTTTTTCAAGGGATCCTAAAGGGGTCAGGGATTAAAGGATAGCAGGCTAGAGCTTCCTGAGTAAGCTCTCAGCCTAACCTAGCAGGCTGCTTGGTTTAGCACACAGCCCCCACAACAGACCACAACACAAACTAATTCACTCATACATCCTAAGGGTTACTTAGTCTTTTTTTTTTTTTCACCTGGGAAAACTCCCTCACAAAACTTGTGTTTCTGGCATCTAGTCTACACTCCCTCAATCCTTTTTACCCTCTGATAACCATGACAAAGATTTTTCTCACTTCCATTATGTCTCATTTGTTCCTGTCTTGATTTCCCCCCACTAACCTCTACTCCCTTGCACTGCCGATGTACCTCCCTTGCTATCTTGATGGGGCCCACCCTCTCTTCCACCCTAAGCTTGGTGACTGATTCTGTGTTCATTACAGGAGTGGGAGGCAATGGGAGTAGAGCAGCTGCGTCTCAGCACCGTGGACCTGACTGGAGTTCCCACATTGGAAAACCTGCAGAGAGGTGTTGAATTTGTACTGAAGCATCGGGAGTGTGGGAACAGTGTCTATGTGCATTGCAAGGCAGGACGCTCCCGCAGTGCCACCATGGTGGCAGCATATTTAATTCAGGTTAGAAGGCTTCTGTACTTAAAGGGGGCACATTTATACCCCAGGCTCCCTGGATAGGCAAACTATTGCTGAGATAAGGGGCCATCTCCTTGACAAGTTGCTTCCATTCAGTAAAGTCAGCTGAGTGGATGACAAGGGAAGCTGCTGCTGCATGGGCAACAGGGTACTTTTGATGGAATTCTGCACCCAAAAATTTCTGCACACTATTTTAAAATTCTTCTAAATTGTGCATATTTTATTTGTCAAAATAACAGAATATAATCACACCAGTTTCAATTATTTTGGGTCATTTATTTCAAAATACCTGTCAGCAAGTATGTCTGTAACAATACAGACAACAAAAAAGATTCAGGAAATGTTTTTTGATAAATAGATTCCTTACTAGGCATATTAATACAGAACTCTGAGTTAGAATTCATGTAAACTACAATACAGAACCATATTTCCCACACCCCACAGAAGCAGAGTAAAAGCTTGGGGGAATCAGCGGAAATGGAGGAGCTGAGGCAGAGGGGAATAAATTTCTGGGAAGGAGCCTGGCTGTGAACTTGGAGGGACTGTTGGTTATGGGTGGGAAAAGTATGGAACAGGTTTTTTGGTGGGGGCAGGGAGGGATTGTTAGGGAGCTTCCCCTATGCAGACCCTGACTGACCCCTAGCCTTTCCCAGTCAGGCACATCTGCTCCTCTCCCCATGTGTGTCTGTGCCCTTACCCAGCCACTCCCCTGTCCCTATGGAGCTCTGCACCCCTCCGCTGTCCTTATGTGTCTCTGCACCTCTCTCCCCCCGGTGGCCCTGCCCCAGTCTGTCCTCCCCCACTAGCCCTTATGAGCCCCTCTCTGACCCACAGCGCCTGTCTGCTGACCTGGCCTGACAAGCACTGGGAAGGCAGCTCTCTCCCTCACTGCGGGGAGCTACGACTTTGTTCCATAACCACAGTACCCTCTGGTGGGCAAAAGGCAGAACTGTAGAAGTTATTTTCTGCGGGGCGCTACTGCTGTTCTTGTGCCACAGCGCCCTCTGGTGGGAAAAAGGTGGAACTGCAGCAACATTTTGGCAGAAGCTTTTTTTTGCATGAAAAATTAGAAATCTCTGGGGGCTTATTAAATATGCATGCGTGCAGTAGTGCAGAATTCCCCTGGGAGTCTGCTCAGTGTCCGATGCTTCAAGAGCTAATTTCAAATGTTACTGAGTCTAGGCTGCATAGCCATTTGAGAGGGAACGTTAGAGAATGTGGCTAGACTCCAGGCTCACTGTGGATGAGCTGTTTGCCAGACACTCCCTCTGCTCACGTTGAGAGGGTTCGTAAGGGTGAACATGTAAAACTGCTAGATGAATTGGAACACAGGCTTCCTTTGATATTCCAGTTCTCTGTGCACATTGACACTAGTGTTGGAATGGGTCTCCTAGGGTTCTCAATTTCACCTGCCCTAAGGACCCTGACAAATCACTACTTGCTGGAAGCAAAGTACTAGCACATGTCACAATGTGGTTTCCATCTTAAGTAGTCTAGCTTGCTTGGCACTCTCCTGTACAGTTATGCCTCTGGCTGCTCAGCTGTCTGCACAGACATAGGCAATGGAAGCTGAATGGGTGAAGTGTTTCTTGATTTCATGTGTAAGTGGACTGCAATTAAATGTGTGAGGCAGCTGACACCTTTAATTTCCTAGATTATTCTGGCAGATTATGTGGCTACTAGGCAGAGGACCTAGTGTGTACTCCTTGCTGTAATAAATCCTGACTGGCTCTGCTTCCCTTAGCACCTACCATGGACAATGAAGAGTGACTCATTGTGACTGAGCAGCTAGCCCGTTGAAGAAACTGGAGCTCTCGGGGGCAAGAAAGAGACCTTGCAGGGCTCAGGCTGATAGGAAGCTTAGTCTAACTAGTAATTGCACAGTTTAACTTTCTTTAAATGCAAAATAAAATGCAGCATTATGGGTAAGAACAAACTCAAGACAGAATAAAGTTGAAGTTCCCACAAACTGAGGCAGATTCAGAACAGCAAAAACTGAAAATATGAGTGCAGCTATGAAACCCTTTGGCATTTCTACATTTGTGCAGGAATCCCTTAGTACTGCATTCATTAGTGTTTGCTTGAGCAGCAGAGGGAAGCACGAGTAGAGTCAGTCTTTCACCTGTATTAGGAAAGCATATCACGTAAAGTAAAACTGCTGTGTCTGTCCAGGGGTGCTGTTATGATCAGGGCAGAAGAAGCTGTCCACAAAAGCATGTGAATTTGAGGACAGGGATAGGCCCTACCAAATTCACAGCCATGAAAAACACATCATGGACTGTGAAATATGGTCTGTTGTATGCTTTTACCTTATACTATACAGATTTCATGGGGGACAGAGCATTTCTCAAAGTGGGGGTCCTGACCCAAAAGGGAGTTGTGGGGGGGGGGGGGGTGTTATTGTATTGCCACCCTTACTTCTGTGTTGCCTTCAGAGCTGGGTGCCCAGTTCTGAAGGCAGCGCCCCTGCCAGCGGGAGCACAACCCCCCAACTCTTTTTTGGGTCAGGACCCCTACAATTACAACACTGTGCAATTTCAGCTTTAAATAGCTGAAATCATTAAATTTACAACTTTTAAAATCCTATGACTGTGAAATGGACCCAAATGGACCTTTGGTAGGGCCCTGGACATGAAGCCTCAGGTAGTCATTTGCATCCCTCTTGTTGAGGGAGTATCCTCTCAGGAGCTCCTATTGAGAGCTGGATGTCTCTCTGAGGTAGGCAGCAGATGATATTTCAGTACAAGGAGGGGTAAAGTGAGCCACTTTCCTTGACCACCTAAACTAGGCTCTGGAAGAAAGCTAGGCCCTCCAAATGCCTGTGTTGACGCATCTTTAGACAGGATGAATTTTCATTCAGGATTTCTGCCTTTCCAGCTCTACCAGTGGAGCCCTCAGGAAGCAATAGAAGCCATTGCCAGGATCCGTCCCCACATCCTTGTTCGCCCCAGGCAGGTCCAGGTCCTGGGAAGATTTCACAGGAATGTGATTGCTGAGGCAGCTGCAGAGAGTCAGCAAGAGCTACCAGAAACCATCCATCAGCTCCCCACAACAAGTTCCTAGTGAACTAATAAGGAATGGACTGCTGCACAACCAATAAAGAACTTTTCAGACACATAACAGCAATGGGGAGTGTTTTTTTTTCTTAACAGCTTCTGGCGTCATGTCCTTACACATACAATACCTGACCCTAGGGTTACCAACTTTCTAACTGAACAAAACAGAACACCCTTGCCCTACCGCTTCATCCAGGCCCCACCCTGCTCACTCCATGTCCCGCCTTGCCCTCCATCGCTCGCACTCCAACACTCACTCACTCGCTCATTTTCAACAGGCTTGGGAGAGTCTCTTTTCGACCAGGTGTTCCGGTTGAAAACTAGACACCTGTTTCTGCTTTTCCCCCCCCACACACACGTCAGAGCACCTGTAAGGGTTTGATCTTCCACCCCTCCCAAGAGAGGTGTCTTGAACTCTTCTCACGTTAACACCATCAGCAAAAAAGAAACCATATCTTTGTCCCACCAGACACTTTTATTCAGGCTCTCACCTCAAGGGCTACAGTGCCAGTAGGGAAGGGTGTGAGAAAATGAACTTCAGTTTCATCTTTAACCATCGTACAGCTCTGTGGTATAATGTCAGCAGGATGGGAGCCCCAGTACTGGGGCTAGAAACCAGCATTGACACAATAGTATTGTAAGGATAGTTTTCCTCTTTGTGCTGGGTGGCAAAGTAGGAGCAAGCCCATCCCTGGCCTCTGCTTCAAGTCCAGCTGCCCTAGGTTAGGGCAGAGCACAACCAAGTCAGGGCCTTGGACCCACCTCTGAAATCAGTCTACAGTAGAGTCCACTTTAGTCAGTGCTTCTGGCCTGAAGTCAATCCTGTAGCCTTAGCAAGGAACAGTCATATTAGAGCCCCATTTCAAACTGCATAGAGCTTTTTTAGGGAGTGTACAGGGTGGCCATTCCCTGTGACTAGTGATGGCAGCAGCACATGCAGCCTCCTGGGCTCTTACACTAAAAGGCTGTGACAAAAAGGGGTTTATCTGCTCATGCTAGGGCTTGCTGGTGCTCGATAGTTCTTGGCCTAAGAAGTCTATCTGCTGCAATTTGAGCTTGAAACACAGCTTCACATCAGAGGATCACAGTAACACTATTTAGTCCATCTGGGATTTAAGATGCTGTAAGTCAACTTGGAGAGTGTAGTGAAAGGGAAAACAGCCTTACATCCAAGAGACTCATACTGCCTGCAAGCAGGGCTAAAGAGGAGGGGGCACTCTATGGTGGTGTGAGCTGGTCTTGCTGGGGCAAGTGGTAAGGAAACTGGGTGCCTCTAAGCTGCTTTACAGAATGTCAATATTGTCTTGTCCGTGGGCTTGTCACCTCAAGCCAGCACAAACTGCAGGTTAGTGAGCAGCACCTTGATGCCACTGGTGACAGTCACCACAGAGGTGGCTGGGTTAAGTTTGAAGGTGTTGGCATCTCCCTTCTTGTAACGATCCCGAAAGACATAGATGCTGCCATTACAACTGGCAATTTTCCAGAGGGATGGTACTGAGCTCCAGGCATCTGGCAGGCAGAGTCGGGTGAAGCTATCCAGGAGGGGATTATAGCACAGCAGCGAGTCCCCCTCAGCCACAATGAACACTAGGTCTTTATGCACAGCAGCATGCATGTGCCCTGCAAAAGGCAATACATAAGGCTTCACGTGGCACTTTTCTGTATTGGTGTCGTAGCACTGAATGAGCCGGGAGGGCTTAGTGAAGAAGTCCAGATCATTCTCCTCCCCACCCAGCAGGTATATGATACCATTGAGGTTGGCACCTGCAGCTCCAGAGACAGCTACTTCCAGCTGGCTGGTCTCTGTCCACACATTGTCTCGCACCCTGTAGTATATGACAGCATTGGAGAGAGTGTCCTGCAACGTCTTGCCCCCTAGTGAGTATATAGCATCCTTGCTGGGCACAGAGACAAGGGTGTGTTGGAGCCGGTCACGGGGCAGAGGAGCACACCATTCCCAGTCTACGGTGGCATTGTTACATTTCCACATGCGCCGTGGAATGGAGCCCCCTACGACATACAGGTCACTGCCATGCTTGCAAGCTGCAGTGATCTGATGGCACAGGCTATTCTGGCCACTCACACTGATTGAGTCATCATCAGCGCAATGCAGAGAGACAGCAAGTGAGTGCGTACGCGATGACTCCTTCCCGATAAGGTAGATGTGAACGTTCTCCCCAATCTCCTGAGAGAGAGAAGGGATTTTTGTCAGAATCCAGGTATGAGTTGTGTCACAACACATGTGCCAGGAGCAGCCAAAGTTCCATTTCCTTTAGGGAGTTTTGGGGCCCACTAGCTCTGTGTTAAGTCATCTCAGCCTCACTTGACTATAAGGTCTCAGGCTCCTACATCATCCACACCCTGTGCTTCAAGCCTTGTCTAGGCACTTTTATCCCTGACTTGGTACAATGAGCGGTGCCCTGCACCTGAATCTACACGGTCAGGCTTCAGTTCAGTTAAGGGCTAGGAAATGCTCAGGGAGAAGAATTAGAGTCATGGGAATGCAAAGCTCTAAGCTTTCTAAACTGGCCTCTTATCTGTGTACCTGGAGAACACCAGGCCAATACCACTGATTAGTTAACCCTATTGGCAAGACCAGCCTCAAGGCTGAGGCCATTGACAATACCTGGGGTTTTCTACCTGTGTGCGCATGCATTCCTGGTATTGAAGCCACAGCTTTTTTAAACACTGAGAGGTCACAAAGGAGGGCAGGAGCCCTTCCTCACTGAGTAGGGAACCAGAGCATTATGATAACTGCATTAACCACGGGGCCATCTATACCTTCAGACTGGATCGCAGCACCGCCGAGAAGCCTGCCCGCTCCTCTTTGTTGAAGTTGATCCAGGTTTCTATGGCAACTGTTGGATTCTGTGAACATGGAACACCATCTGTAGTTTCAGAGACAAAAGAATTTACAATAAATTGACATGCTATTCTCAAGGCATGAGCTGAACAACCCTCTTCCGCATAACCTTTTTCCCCGCACGAGGACACCAAAAAACCCTATCCTGAGCAAGAGTGAGACTGAGGTTTATAAAACCTGGCTAGTATGGCCAGCAGGAGCAACTAGGCACCTGTATCAAGTCTACCTGTTTCAACATCAGGAGATATTGCTTCCTGGGTGACACAGCAAATGTTCTATTTGAGGGGTCCTGTACCGTAAGTCAGAAAGTCAGTGAGCTAATGTCACAGATCTTAGCAAGCACCCATCAAGGTCACTCACTAGGACTGCTGAGAGAGGAATCCAAGCTTCTGTGCTCTGGATCCCCTGGGATGCATTAAGCTTCTGGAGCCTCAGCAGTGTGCAGCACTGATTCTTCCCTGGGTACCTCTGGCCCCATTTCCTGGGCACTGATTCTCAGTCTCCTACCCCTTCCTGGAGATGGAGCTCCTCAGGCCATCTGCCATAGGCCCCCAGGACCAGTGCTCACCCCCAAGATACTCCAGTTACTTAAACATGTCCCTTTCCCATAACACCACCCCAAAGGCATGAAGCTTCTGGTTTACAATTTAACTCTCAGGGGCACGCAGCAGTTGTGAAGCAGTGAACACACTCACACTCTTTGCACAGAGTCTAACACCTTTTATGCTCTTTTATACTTAATCAAATAAAGAACAAGACAGTAGAGATCACACAAGACAACAAACGTCTTAAACACCTCAGTCCCTCACTTTCTAGCTCACCCTTCCCTTGCGAGTCCTTAGGGATCATCGATGTCCAGGCTGTCAGGGAATCCCCTGCCTCACACTAGTTGTTACGTGGTGGGTGGTCTCTCCTCTGTGGACTGGAGAAAAATGTCCCTTGGAGCAGAAAAACTTCTGGACTTTTTAAAACCCATGTCAGCTTCTCCATATGAGCACGAACCCCTGCCAGGTTACTTGTCCATTGCTCAATCAGTTCTTCTGGGCAGGGACCACTCTGGTCTAGAGTGAACAGATTTCCAATGACTGGGAACTCAGAGTCAACTACTCTTTATTGTTCTTTTGCCACCAGTCTTTGGAATCTCAATTCAACATGGAAGCAAACAGACCACAGAGAAAGAAAAAGGCTACACATTCAAAATGGAGTTTGCAGCTTGCACAGACACAGAGGGTGCATAGTCTCACACAGAATTCATAAACTGTACAGATATATTCCCAACTCATCACACCCTATGCCTGCATCACAGAGTCAGTGTGGGGAAGGAGGGAGACATTGCACCATGATGCTCAGAGAATAACAAACATCTCCTCACTTAGGCAGAGAGGTTTGCACCTACGGGACTTTTAGATCTCTTGCTGCTCCTGGAAGCCCAACAGACATGGCCAGCACCAGAAACACTTTTCCTCAGCCCACATTTAGCTAGACAACTATGATCTTTCTTCTCAAATCTGGACCTCCACTTTTGTTACATACAGGCAGGATTGCTGCAACATGCTCTTCTTGAAGCTTGCCTACTTGTGCTGAACCACAATACACCTGTACTTAATAGGCTGCACTGGTTTTCTATTTGCTTCCACGTACAGTGTTAATCCTTGGTTAAGCCATAAACCCTTGTATCTTTAGTAAATTGCCAACAGTGTGCTAGGTGCTTGCATATAGTTTCAGATGTGACTGCCTGAGAGATGATCGCTGTCCCTATGTGGAATCCTCTCTAGATTCAGCTTTGATTGTGTGAGACATGACATTCCTTCTGAAGGTTCCTTGACTCTGAAATCTGCTTCCTCTGGGCCTGACAGAGCCCCAAGTTAGTTTGCATTCAGTGCGTTAGACAAGACCCACCTATTTGCTCATAATGGGGGGAGTTTTTTCTGTTTAGGATTGATCCATTATTACTGGGATTGTCTAAATCACTGGCTGTAGCAACCAACACACAAGTTAAATGTACAGTTTTATTCTGGAAATGTGTCCAATGGCCCAGCAATGGACAAGTTTTATAAATAAATCATCATCTGCATTACATTTGTTTTAATGCTCATCACTAACGCTTGCTTATTTTCCTTGGGCTTCCACTAACTGGATTGTAGTACAGGGAGTGTTTAAGCTAACACAGCGCTTCTGCCAAACTGCACTATGGGTGTATTTCTGTTTGGGGCCCATTTTACAGGCCTACCTGGGTAACACAATTGCACAAGGGGAAAAAACCCACCACAGGTGCCTTTAAACAAAACAATCAAACCAACCTAATCTTGGACAACACACATTAAAATACCATTATCCTAATCCTATGGTTATTGCATGGTGTCACTAAACAGCCTTAACTCTGCCCTTTAAGTGCCTTAACTGTTTTTTTCTTACCTTAACATGTTTGGATTTCTTTTAAGTGTAACCTTAACTCTGAATTTCCTAGGTTTATAATGCATGTTTTCAGGGTAATTACAAACAACCTGTAGGTTTTCTGTACCCTTGAGTTACTGATATACACTTTCAACCCTAACTCCATCTGAACATAGTTTGTCTGTGGATTTCTTAAGTTTTTTTTAAATTAAAAAGTTTCATACATACACTAAACCAGAAAATGCTACCATGTGATATTTCTAACGATTTGTAGATATTCAGTATCAATCTTTATTTTTTTTAATTTTAACTTTTATGGATAGATTCACTAGTACCTCCAAAGCAGTGCAACCTGCCAGTGAGGGTGGGTTCACAGCTGCTTTGCCTCACTGGAGCAGCACAAAGCACCCAAAGCATTCTGGTGAATCTGGCCGTTAATTTGCAGTTGACTTATTGGAGGGCTGCATTAATTAAAATACTGCTAAGCAACGAGCACCAGGGAGAGCTCAATCCCCTATTCCCAGTATCACTGAATTTTAAGGACTCCCCCACAGTCCTACCTGAATTACTCTGGCAGTGCTGTCTCAATACATCGTAGAGCCATCAGAGCAGTATCATGGGGAAGCCTTTCAAGCACTGATGCCCAAGCCAGCATCAAGCCATAGAATTTTTAAAGAGCAGTGGCAGATGGGCCAAGCAATCTACCACTGAGAACTCTTGACATGTGTCCACTCTTCTTCATACCACTGAATCACTGCAACCAATAACTCCACTTGAGTTACCTGTCTAGTGTATATAATCGATACAATCAGATACAATTATTTATAACTACACTAAAGTTATACCCTACTTTCTTCAAATATGGCCTATGCATAAAATTTCAATTAATTTTAAGTATATGGAAAGTTTGAAGAGTCTGCATTATTCTTCTTCTATTGTTAAGATCATTCAGGACAAAGAAAAGGCAGATTAAGAAATGTAACAAAGAAGCACATCTTTAATTAATTTTAAAACAAGCAAATTAACAGATTTACTTGTAAATACTTTGAAAATTCATTCTGTAGTAGCAGAACGTCCTGTAAAGTTGGGGATGATGTAACGTATTTTTCACACAAACAAGACATTGAATCCCTGCTTTAAGTGAAAAATGGTACCAACCTTAATTATGGAGTCACAACCAGCATCTCCATAATACCAGAAGGAAAAAAACAGTAGGCAGAAAGCATTAAAAGAGAATGAAGGGGCTGGAGACATTCCAAAAATCTGAAGAAAAGCACGTACAATTATAGGCTCCCCTACACCAGCTATATGGCTTGATTGCCTACTGAAAGCCCTACAATATGAGTGGAGCAAAGTGTCTTCTATAGGAAACCAACTTAATATGACACAACATGCGTTTGGCGCTTTACAGACAAAGAAGTCCAGCTCTGAAATGCTTTCTACTGAAATTGACAATTATTTGAGGAAACGCATAATATTATTTAAAATACTACATAGGATGGCAGCTCAACAGATCCTTGAAGGTTAATAAACTACACCTGAGATATCAGTGAGCAGGGACCCCCATAAGGTTTAATGCCAAGCATCCCCTGAAACCTGGGAGGTTGGAGGTTGTTACCCTTTCCCCAGGAACTGCTGTGAGATAGACAATATGGCCATAATAGCATCTTTTATGTTAACATGGCTATTGCTCAAAGGTTGGATGCTTCACTGCCAGATGCAGTTACCAAGGCTTCTTTGATTAAGTTATGCTGGATAGTTTGCTGTAGGAAGACTTGCTTTGATCAGCCTCTGAATAAGATAGTTGGATCCCCTGAATCCCATCCTCCTGTCCTTCTTCAAAGCCACTCTGCTGGTTGTTCAGATAATCCCCACAACCCTCTCAGTCACCCCAATTTTCTCTCCACACCCACATCCTGGCTGGTCTCATAAGCCCCTTGTGCCTACCTGTAAGGATGTCTGTCAGCAGGCGGAGAGGTAAGTGCAGGAACTCCTCTGTGTCCTGAAGCTGTGACAAGTGTGACTTGGCACAGTGCTTTGCAGCTGTGTAGAGCTCCATGTCACTGTGTTGATCTGCCAGCCACATAACCTGAAGACAGTTCCTCACCTGCACCGTGCGGGCCAAGAAACGGGAGCACTCCTCAAAAAGGGAAGTCAGCTGGTACATATCTGCCACCTCATATGTTTCCTGCAACTCTTCTGCCCTCAGCTTTACAGTCCCATGGTAAATATAGTCCACCAGGAGCTGGAAAACACTCTCACTAACATCTTGCAGCTCAATCACCCGGTTGTGGGCCTCCTTCAGGTTGGAAGTGAACATGGAACGAAAGAAGCAGCTCTGAGCTGAGAGGACTAGCCGGTGCAGCTGGAATTCTTTGCCTTCCACTGAAATGGTAACATCAGCAAAGAGCTCATCCTCCAGGCAGAGCTTCATAATACCCTGAGCTACGCGGCCTGAGTGAGAACGGTCAGTGAAGGTGTAGTTCACAAAGTAGTTCTCTTCTGTGGAGGAGCCCCCAGTCTCCTCCGACGAGTCCATGTTGCCGCACAGATCTGACCTCCAGCAATCTGTAAAACAATGGCAGTGAGCCTCCCCGCCTCAACTAACAAGATCATGCAGCTCAGGGTACATGCAACTCCAATAGCCAAGAGAAGTTGGTGGGTAGCCAAGCAAACTGCAGCCTAAGTAACATAGCTACTAGAAACTTCCACCTGATCTGCAGTGCTTCCTTATAAGTGCAGCACATGAGGTGCTGTGATTAAAACTGCCACAGCTCTCGCTCCAGTGGTAGCCTCATGCAACGGTGGAATCCCAATATTCCAATCCCTGGAATTAGCAAACACAATGACCCTTTCATTCCCATCTCAGCACACTAGTGAAATACAGCAAAGGCGATCTAAGGTATGTAGGGGAAATATCTAGCCACCCAAATCATGAATCTCCCCTTTACAACAGAGGGGGCACACGAAAGAAATATCAGAATTTATAACTCTAATAAAAAGTCAGATTCATTCTTCTCACATTGCATACTCCCCACCTCCGGTTTCATAACAGGGATTTCTGAAACCAATAAAGCAAGGAAAAGATGGTAATATTAGTGTGGGTAGGTCAGATGCAAACAAGGTTGAGGCATGGTGTGCTGGCAAAGAGCAGAAGCAGCAGTTAATAGCATGACTAGGTGCTAATTACCATATGAAAATGAGGTGATGTATGTGTAGAGGTAACATGTATTGGGAGTTTATTTTACTGAAAAAGAAGTGGCAGAAGAATCCTGCCAGAATTGACCAGAAGCCCTCAAACTACCCAGATGAGAAATTTGCCAAGTGCCTTACGGTTGCATGAAATCTGTATGAAGTGCCCTGCATCTTCAATATGAGATACAACCTGTAGAGACTACTCCTCCCAGGCAACTTGGATCAGATAATCAAGTACTATAGAAAGGCTTCACATTTCAAGCCAGATGGTACCTGCCAGATGTTATTAGCCGTAACCTCCATTAGCAGCAGGGTAAGGTCAAAAGAAGCAATTGTGTCTCTTTGGCAGGGATTTCCTCAGGGGCAGGAGGAGAGATAGGTCTCTGCCACAAAGAAGAGCTGCTCCAGAAAGGGGTGGTAGCTACCTCTTTACTTCACTGATGATGCTATTGTGCAACTGCAGGGTTTTGGCATCAGCTGTAGATGCCTCCCAGCAATAGCAGAACATAGACAAGCGTCTTACAATTGGGACTATGCTCACTCAATACTCATTTTCACCCCTCAGCGAGAGACTAAATTTCTAGCCCCAAGTGTAGTGGTCCATAATGATAACATTCAATCTTAACCATAGCAGCTATCTCTGATGCCTCATTATTCAGTGATTTCAATAGGATGAGTTCATCCAAGAAGCTTGCAATTGCTGTACTCCTTCAGTTGAAGATACAGGCCCACAATTGTTCAAGTCAGCCTGTAATTTGGAAGAATTCCTGAGGATTCTTTGCTGAAACTAAAACACATACACAGCAGCGACCATGAGCAACACTTTCTATCATCTCTGGTTGTCAAGAAGATCCTCTATTCTCGAGAATAACAACCTTGCCTCAGTTATAAGCGTCTTTGTTACTTCTCAGGTGGACTACAGCAGCATAACATACCTGGGCATGAAACCATCAAGCTTTTGGTATCTCTAACTAGTACAGAACTCAGTACACCTCTCCTCAGCAACACAGGCCACCACAGCTACATCAAACCTGTCCCCTGCTCTCTACAGTGTCCTACCATAGACAATTTCAAGTCAAATTCGAGGCTTTGTTCCTTATCTTTAAGGCACTCAACAACCTGAACTTAGGATACCTAAAAGATCAACTGAAGCGCCAGGATAAGAACTGTAATCGGTAAAGTCACTCTTCAGGCACCATGAACTTTTACTGAAAGAGTAATGCTCATCTGTGCTGGAAAAGGACCTTTCTCAGACTGTGGAACAAACTCCTACAGGAGCTAAGGACCGTCACAAACCTCATCACCTACTCCAAGTGTAAAGTCAATTTTTTCAACCTTGCCTTCTCCAATATGAATACAAAGCAGCAAGTTCTTATTAAAAAGCTGTACCAAAACAAAACACTGCAAGGCACACACAGCTTCCTTCTTGGGGAGAGGATAAGAAAAAAAATGAACTACATGTGACAGACGCTAATCATGTCATTTAATGCACTATTGGAAGGTGTTCAATTACTGCAGTGATGAAGGTGATTTACCTATATAGAAAATAAAATAGATTCCAACAGACATTTTCCTTTTTCTCTTGTCTAAAATAAAGAATCCAACAGAGAAACGACAGCTTAGTACTACTATTAAAAACTACAGTGAAAGCAGAATAAAGGCTGCAAAAACAAGTGCACAAATTCTGATAATACTAAAAGTGACATTTTCCTCATAACATTAACTTGACCACATGTCTTGTGCAGGATTTTTCAGAGATTGGAGAGTCATACAGTCTTCAGTTCCCTCACCTCTAAGGGAGCAAATAAAGGCTGGTGGTAAAACAAATAATGGGAGGATCCACTTTCATGCTTTCTTCCATACCACGTGCTCATGAGCATTATTTCTTAGCATCACTCAGAGACCTCCAATAACAATTTCAATTTCCATCTCTATGGTGAGGATACTCAGATCTACTTCTGTCTTTTCCGGTGTAGGGCAGTTTGGCTGGGCAGGTCTGGGATCAGTTGCAGAGTCTGTCTCTCCCACATTTCTTCATGGATACCTCAAAAATTTAAGCCTATCTTTCCTCCTATATATCCCCCATGTCTCCTATTCTCTATCACAGTTGACAACACCGTTGCCTATATTACTTACGTGATCAGGGAGTCATCTTAGGTTCCTCCCTCTCCCACCACTTTGTCTTCTGTCCCAACAGCTAACACACTTTTACAAGCCCTGATTATTTCCCAATTTGATTACTGCAACCTCCTCCTCTTTGGCCTCCCTACTACCCACATCATTGCTCCCTCCAGTGTATCCAAGTTGTGGCAGAGAGATTAATGATTTTATTGAATTTCATATAAGTAGCTAATTATGCAATCAATCCAAGGAAGAGTGGGATGGAGCTACCCCCAAGAAGAGGGAAAGAAATGATGAAAATAGAAACAAAGGAAAAAGTGATGGAAAAGTGGAGTGGTTCAAAGGTTGTTTGATGAAGAGCATATGAATTCAAACGCAACAGAGCTTTACTTCTTGTGACAATGGATAATTGATCACATCAGGGAATAAAGATCACATCTTTCAAAATGTTTGAGTCTTTTGTATGCCGTACTTCCAAGACTCCCCAATCAATGGTCCAATTCTGGGAGTGCGGAGGCGCCTGAAAAAGCAGTCCCCTCCCGGGATCTCTCCTGCCTCCTTTCACGCAGCCCCTCACCACCGACTAAGGTTTACCTTCAAGTAAGCCCTTGGACAACACCAAACGGGCTTGCACCCCGCTCTCCTCTGCTGCACTCCCCTGCCCACCGCCTCCTACCCCAGGCTTCCCCTGCGTGCGCGCCAAACTGCCCACAGGCCTGAAATACCAGCCCCGAACTGGCCTCAGGCCGCCCCTCCACTCAGATCCCGCCCAGAAACCTGCTCCTTCAGAGTCCCCCCCGCACCTCCCGCCAGCCAAAGCCCCGCGCCCGCTGGGCCAAACCGCGGCCCCCACCCTCCCCAGCTCGTCCCTTGGGACAGGAAGGCTCCTCCCCACAGGCTCGGCCCATCCCGGACCGGAGCCAGCGCCCGCCGCTCCCCACCGAGCTTGCCCAGCAGCCCGGGCGAGGTTCGCGGCTACAGTCCTCCCGCGATGGGGAAGGGCGGGGGCACGATGGGAAAAACCCCGCGCGGACTTAGACTGGGAAACGCGCCCGCCCCGCGAGGGCGCCCACCTGCGGCTCCTCCCTTCATGCCACCGCCCCGGGCCGGAACCTCCCACCAGCCTTCCGGGGAACCTCACCGCAGCTGCACCTTCCTTTTCCGCCGAGCGACGCGTCCGGCACTTCCCGTCACTTTACCGGAAACTCCCTGCTAAACTGACGGCTGTGGCACATTCTACTTCCGGTCTGGGGAATTTAACCGTGGAGGCGCCTTCCGTTTCCGGTCTGTGCCCTTGTCTGTCCGTGTCCCCGGCTCGCTGCCCGGGGCAGGATGTTAGCAGCAGCGCTGGGTCTGGCCCGGGCTGGCCTTAGAGGTGAGGCAATGGGGCTGGTGGGGAGAGAGTCGGGGCCCCCGTGACCCCGGCCCCACGTGAGTCGGGTTGCCTAGGCGAGGAGCCCCTCGGTAGGGCCGGCCTGTGTGCAGCCCCCTTTGGCTGGGGCAGGAGTCACCGTGTCCCCTTCCAGCCGTGCCGAGAGTGGTTCGGTGGCAGAGGCTGTCTTCCTGCCCACTTCTCCTCTGCCTCGCTGGGTCGCCTCGTGCCGCCTTCGGGGAAAGATTTTACTTCTGTGCAGCTGAATGGCAAATGTCTTCTGTGTCTCACTGGCCCCCCGCGTCTCCCTGGTGTCTCTGGGCCTCGCTTCTGTTGGCGAGTCCAGGCTTAGTAAAAGCGGCAAAGAGTCCTGTGGCACCTTATAGACTAACAGACATATTGGAGCATAAGTTTTCGTGGGAGAATACCCACTTCGTTGGATGCATGCATGTATTCACCCACGAAAGCTTGAGACCCCATCCTAGGGCCTAATCACGTCAGCCACGCTATCGGAGGCTCTTTCACCTGCACATCTACCAATGTGATATATGCCATCGTGTGCCAGCAATGCTCCTCTGCCATGTATATTGGTCAAACCGGACAGTCTCTACGTAAAAGAATAAATGGACACAAATCAGACGTCAAGAATTCTAACATTCAAAAACCAGTCGGAGAACACTTCAATCGCTTTGGTCACTCGATTACAGACCTAAAAGTGGCAATTCTTCAACAAAAAAACTTCAAAAACAGACTCCAGTGAGAGACTGCTGAATTGGAATTAATTTGCAAACTGGATTCAATTAACTTAGGCTTGAATAAAGACTGGGAGTGGATGGGTCATTACACAAAGTAAAACTATTCCCCCCCCCCCCCACATGTTCTTGTCAACTGCTGGGAATGGCCCACCTTGATTATTGCTACAAAAGGTTCCTCCCTCTCCCCCCTCCCCGCTGGTAATAGCTCATCCTAAGCGATCAGTCTCTTGTTACAGTGTATATGGTAACACCCATTATTTCATGTTCTGTATGTGTATATAAATCTTCCCACTGTATTTTCCACTGAATGCATCCAATGAAGTGAGCTGTAGCTTATGAAAGCTTATGCTCAAGTAAATTTGTTAGCCTCTAAGGTGCCACAAGTCCTCCTTTTCTTTTTTCCAATATGTCTGTTAGTCTAGAAGGTGCCACAGGACTCTTTGCCACTTTTACAGATCCAGACAAACATGGCTACCCCTCCGATACAGGATTAGTAAGACTCTGCCTGTTCATGTGCAGTAAGATATCTGCTGAATTAGTGCTTTTGGGAGAAGGCTTGAATAACGTGGTGATGAATGTGATATAAACATCAAAAGAGAAAGAAGGGATCTCCAAGATCCGTATTATATTTGATCTGTTCTTTCCGTTAGGCAGGATATCACTGTGTTACTGTTTGCTCTAGTATATCGAGCACTGTTCACTTCTAAGTACAATAGTTGGGCATATGGTTTAGATATTGCTGTAGGAAATTGAGTGATACATCCTCCACTCCTAAAGTGTGATTAATCAGATTTCTGGTTTAGGAGAGGAGGGTTTATTGCTTCGTATGGAAAAGGTATCACCATAGCCTTTGTTTCTGCATAGTACTTAGTGGAGGGAATAGGCCTCCTTGGTAGAATTTGTGTCTGTGAGTAGCACTTGTCTGCTGGACTGCACATTCAGGATTTCTTTTGGGGGTATTTTCACTACACTATATGATTATTGTTTGGGGGGGGGCAAGGGAAGGTCAGACTTAATTCCCATATGTTAAAATGAAGCTCACCTCATCAGGATGGGACAACATGAGGAAGTCTCCTGGTCTCTGGAGAGGAGGAAAGAAGGCATTCCTCCTTAGAGGAGAAATGGAGTATGTGGTACAGACAGTTTCATCTGTGCTCTTTCTCTTTGTAGCTGCTGCACGCCCGGCAGTGCTGTTGCAACAAGCTTGTTTTGAAGGGAGCTCCACAACAGAGACCCATCGTAAGTCTGAGTTTATTAGTATTTCACCAACTCCTGGAGTCTGTAAAGTGCGTCTCATTTAGAATAACTCAGTAAGGTGACCATATTTTCAAAATCAACCCAGAACGTTTTTGCAGTGACATTTAGATATATAAAAGAAAATGTATGTGCTTTTTTTTTTTTTTCTAAGTATGCTGGTGCTGCAACTGCCAGCTTCTGACTCCACCATAACACTTGCATATTTCTCAGAGAGGAAGAGGATTTTTAACTTCGGTAGCTTTGTCTTCTGAATTGATTTATCATAAAATACTGAATAAATGTTAACAAGCATTTTGAGCAAAAGAACAGTTTTGGTGTCTACACTCATGAAATTTCTCTCTTCAGTGTAATGTACAGCATTTGGAGTGAATATTCTTTCCATTAGACTGTTTCTGGTGATCACCGCAGATCTAATTCTGTGTTTCAGTAAATCTTGAACAACAAAAAATATAAACCAGACAGAATGAAAAAACAAAGACACTTCAGGTGTTGTGAAAGAAATTGCTGAGCTGCTAGAACGTTATATGGAAAATGGGCACTGTCCTTGTAAAACTAAGACATTATGTGCTGGAGAAACTGCTTTCCTCTTATCAGGAATCAGTCTGTTAAATCCCTTTAGGATTTAGGAAATCAGGAAATGTTTGCTGATGTTCAGTCTAAACTTCTCTCACTTTATTCCTTTTACTGAATTATAACATCCCCGTACTTTCTACACCACTTTTGATTCCACCCAGTGTGATGCAAGCAGTTTCATATTCATGGTGACAGGATGCTCTGTTGTCTGACACCTGATGGCTGGGCACTGGAGTAGATTTGCCCACTTACCAAAGTCTGTTTCCTAAATATGCTATGCATCTTGTACATTAGACTCTATCCATGTTCCTCCTGGTGTTGGTAGATAGCCATTTAGTTCACCACGTTGTGAGGTGCCTCCCTCTCATTAAGTTGATCTTTACAGTCATGGCTTGTCTCCTCCTACCTAGCTGCTCCCTGCTGGGGGACAGACCTATGGCCAAGCTGACTAGAGTCATGCTGAGCTAGTGTGGGGCTGGGAGTTACTGCTCCTCTTTCTATGGCTTACCATTCAATAGCCCTGAGAAGTCTGTTGTTCTTTCCAGCTACTGTTCGACCAAAGGATGAAGTGGCCCAGAACCAGCTATGTGCTTTTGGAGAGTATGTGGCTGAAATTCTGCCCAAGTATATCCAGCAAGTCCAGGTAGGTATTACCAATCAAATCATTCTAGCTTGGGGTATGTGTAGTGAGGAGCTGGCTGGTAGAGCCCTGCGTGGATACAAAATTCATATCCGCATCCAGTCCACAAACATGGTCTGTGGATATCTGCAGATGTACAGGGCTCTGGGTGGAAGAGAGCGATAGAGCTGGCTAAAAAACATTTCTGCTGTTGAGTTCCTTGGTCTGATGTGATATACCTGATCATGTGGCCCCAAACCCTCCTGATCTGAGTATCCTGCTTTATTCAATGCACTGCTCAATCCCTTCAGCTTCTATACGAATTTGCTTTCTGTCCTTTCCACAGGTGACCTGTTTCAATGAATTGGAGATATTTATCCATCCTGATGGGGTTGTTCCAATTCTGACTTTTCTTCGAGATCACACCAATGCCCAATTTAAATCCCTGGCTGATTTGACTGCTATTGATGTCCCAACTCGACAGTATCGTTTTGAGGTAGGAACTATTCCTTGAAGGTACAGATCTGCAAAGAGTTATAGAAGATGATGGTGTTGAATACTAAGATAAGCAGTTATTTACAGCTCTGGCCATGCATTGAATGGTCATTTGCATTCTGTGACAGTTATGCTTATCTGCTCTGAGAACTTCAGGTTTTGCTTAACCCACTGAGCATAGAATCAGTTGTATCACTGACATATTATTAACACACCCAGTTAAATAGTGACCCTGAGGCCACTGCCCAATGCAGGAATTCATTTTTCCCTGTAGAATTAGTGCTGCAGAGCTGCTGGCCACCATTAGGGGCCACTGGACCCAGCAGAGCTCCAGCTCCCAAATACAGGACTCTGTTCGGGGGGAGAGAGCTGGAGGGTTCTGGGCTGCTGCAGTTTCCAGCACGCTGGACCCAGCAACAGGCTGTTTCTCTCTGGATTCCTGGGCTCTGGGGGGTAGGGGGTTTGGATGTCTGGCTGGGGTGTGCCCATCAGCTGGTGTCTGGGCTGGGGGGTGCCCCCAGCTGGGTTCTGGAGGGGTTTGGGGGTGTGGATGTCTAAGACTGAAAGGGCAGAGTTTTCCCCCAAGATGTGCCCAGCTGGTATGTGAGACCCTAGACCGAGGCACCTGACAAAAGCATTACAGAGAAACAACAACTGGGCTCTTGCAGAGGTTTCTTTAACTCTCTACTCCTAGGGGAAACTTTTTTTGTCTGTATTGTTACAGACATACTCGCCGACAGGTATTTTGAAATAAATGATCCAAAATAATTGAAACTGGTGTGATTATATTGTGTTATTTTGACAAAATATGCAGAATTTTGCAGAACTTCTAATTTTTTGGCGCAGAATTTCCCCAGGAGTAATACTACTCTTTGGATCTGAAGCCACTGATTTACTTTGACCATGACTCACAAAACTTTCTTCTCCATGTATTCACCAACCACCTTCTTTCTGACGATGTCCGCTCCTTCTGTTTCATCTTCCTTGCCCTCATTGCAGCCTTCAACTCTGAACAGCTCCATTCTCCTGGGTGGCCTCTGTAGGTAGGCAGACTTCTCTAGTTATTTAGCACTAGTTGTGAAGTAGCACCCAGAAGCCCCAAACAGGATTTGAGGCACCATTGTGCTAAGCAGCATACACATACATAACAAAGAGAGAGTCCCAACCCCAAAATGTTTACAGTTTCATGTCTCGTCTCTGCTCCTACCTAGCTGCATCTACATCTATGCTGAAGGTGCCTTCTTTGTTTTAAAATCCTCCATGGCCTTGCTTCACCTAACTTCTTATGCCTGATCTCACTCTCTCACACACACTTTTCTAGTACTAGCCTCTGTCCCGCCATAGAATCTGGCAGTTTCTCTTTTGCAGTTTACACAGTCTGGTACAACATCTCTCTCTTTTACCTCATGGGGTTTCCATATCAGATGAAAGGTATATTCTAAAACAAAAAACTAAGAGTTTGGGCTGAAACTGTTTTATTGGTATCAAACTCCTAAAAACAGTATTACCCTTTCTTTAGGCTTGGTTTATGTTCAAAAAATTTGCAACAGGGTAGCTAAATCTATTTAAAGTTGATCTAATTACACCAGTGAAAACCCTTTCTATATAAACACTAAACTCCTATTGCATATAACCAACATGAAATATATTTTTAAATCTCTTCTTAACCACATAAGAAAGTTAAAGCATTTGAAACTTAATTTATCAACTTTCTTTTTAATAATAATTTTTATTTGAAGTGACTTCCTTGTATTAATAGCTTTTTATAAACTGTAGGAAATAATTAGTTATAAATGGTAGGAGGGATATTCAAAATCACTTAGTGGATTTAGGCATCTAATTCCCACTGACTTTCAATGGGAATTGGCACCTAACTCCCTTAGGTGCTCTTGAAATCCCACACAGTAGCTTTTCAGTTGTTTCAAAACACAGATGCTCACACACACAGAAAAGACAAGAAGGCACAGCTTCTCTCTTTCACTTGTACCTCCTCTGAGACCTGGAAGACTTTTACCAGTGTTAAGGCATTGGTTTTGTTTGCCTTTTTGGCCACAGACTCTCAGCAGTGGTGTAAGGATGGACGTGTCTTGGTTAAGCTGGTCTGTTAGGCAAAAAGAGAGAGGTAGGGGGAGTGGTAAAAGAAAAGCTGGCTGAAGTTGAACCTAAGCAAGACAGAGGTGATGCTAGTGGGCAAAGAAAATGATTTTGAAGAGTTTGCAGCCACAATGCAGCCTCATATGGTTGAAGGCAAACACCCACAATTGGTCAATTCAGTCCGTAGTCTAGAAGTAACCTTGGATTCATCGTTGACACTGAGGTTTCAAATGGCATCACCTGTGAATATTGCTTTCTACCATCTTCAGTTGGCCTGGAGACTGCATCCCATCCTGGTGGATGAAGACCTGGCCTTGGTTATTTGTACCTTTGACACCTCTTCACTGGACTACTGCAGTACACCCAGGCATGAAGGCTCGGCCTTAGGAAATTCTGGATAGTACAGAACATTGCAGCACGTCTCCTCAGCAACACAGCCTACTCTGAGCATATCAAACCAGTCTTCTGCCCTCTACACTGGCTTCCCTTAGAATTTTGAACCAGGTGCAATGTCTCAGTCCTTATCTTCAAAGTGCTCCATGACCTGCGCCCAGGAGAGCTAAAAGACCACCTAAAGCTCCAGGGTAAAGACTGTGGTTGACAACTATGCTCGTATGGCACAGTGGAACTCTCAACAGTAAGAATAAGGCTCACCTGTGCAGGAGACCGAACTTTCTCTGCGGGGCGGTCCAAGACTGGCATGAACTCCCCCAAGAACTAACAGCCCTCATTAACCTCACGACTTTCCACTACAAGTGCCAAGCGCATTTTTTACCTTGCCTTTTCTAATGTAAATACATAGGAATAGGTACATTCAAACAAGCAAAGCTACCAAAACAAGACACACCACTGCACGTGCTTCTCGCTGTGGGGAGAGGATGAGAGAGTAACTCACACATAACAGCTCTGTAGTTACATTGCTTAATGCACTACTGGAAAGCACTCAGATACTTCAGTGATGTGTGGTATATGGACCTATATAGAAGAGAATACGAGGGAGAGGGATGAACAGGGAAGGAAACTTACATACAAGGGAGGGAATAGCAGTACCTAAGTTTCACGCTTCAGGTATTGTTCAGGATTTAGCTAACCTTATGGACATGGAGATGTCACCTGGTTGCTTCTCCTTGCCCATTCTGGTCCGGACATCTTTCAGGATGGTGGCCAATGAAGGCTAATCAGTGTGATGGTAGATTCCTGGTTCCTAGTATGTGACCATACTGGCAAGACCGGTTGGCACACAGTAATGCATCTTCCTTCCTGTAAGGTTAAGCTAGTAGCCAAGTGACGCCTTAATAATGCAATGCCTAGAAAGGGATGACATCCTCATCCCATCAGAATTAACCAATCAAAGCATATCTAGGGTTCTACGCTGACACTTCCTGCCATTCTAGCAATATCTTAGTCTAAAACAATTGGTGACCTTGCCAAAAGCTTTGCACCTCCCTGATCAGTTTTTAGTGTAAATGCATCCAAGTTGTAATAGTAGTTTGTCTCCGATCTCTGCTCATTCTATAAACTGGTCAAGTTAAACTCTTATTACTTTTCACATGCTTTGGACAATGTAAAATATTAATCCACGGTATAGACAGTAACACTAAATGTGGCCAGTTAAGTTTCAGGAGAATTGGTTTGTTTCTGGGGAAATTAGAGATGGTGGGGTTTTTTCTTTCCTTTTTTCATAAATTAGGCTAATAATAGGAAAGTTAGCTTGAACTTTAACTATGGAGTGGCTACCCTTGTTCCATAGGTATGAAGTGCTATCATGGTCTCACTGGAAAACTCATCTGAAAACCTCTCTTCTTCCTTGCCCGTGCCCCTTCAGCCGGTATTTCACTATAAAAATCTCAAGTCATTCCGGGAGACAGTTTATATGTGAGCTAGGACACAAATTGGTTGCTTTTTCTCAATTCCCTTTAGATTGTTTATAATCTCCTGTCTCTGCGCTTCAATTCTCGGATCCGGGTGAAGACGTACACAGATGAGCTGACACCTGTCGATTCAGCAGTGTCAGTGCACCAGGCAGCAAACTGGTATGAAAGAGAGGTGAGCTCCAGTGTGCTTTCCCAAGGGCTTTGTGTTTGGGAACAGGATCCATGTGGGGGTTGGAGGAGACCATGTTTGAGTGAAACCCTATTCCTCTGGGAACTGTGTAGGAGGGAGTGGTGTTGCCCTTGGGAATGGGAGAAGAGGCACTTGACGTTCTTCTGAGGGCTTTGAGCAAAGGTATAACAAGATCCAATGACTGGAAGTTGAAGTTGGACAAATTCAGACTGGAAATAAGATGTAGATTTTTTTAACAGTGAGGATCATTAATCATTGGAACAATTTAGAATCAGATACGTAGGATTGGAAGGGATCTTGAGAGCTCAAGTCCAGCCCCGTGCTGAGGCAGGATCAAGTAAACCTAGACCATCCGTGACAGGTGTTTGTCCAAAGTGTTCTTAAATACCTGCATAGATGGGAATTCCACAACCTTCCTTGGTAGCCTGTTCCAGTGCTTAACTTCCCTTATAGTTAGAAAGTTTTCCAAATATCTAACCTAAAATGTCCCTTGTTGCAGATTAAGCCAATTACTCCTTGTACTCCCTTCAGTGGACATGGAGAACAATTGATCACCATCCTCTTCTTGCCCGGAACTTATTTGAAGATTATCAGGTCCCCCTCTGTCTCCTTTTCTGATGACTAAACATGCCCAGTTTTTTAACCTTTCCCCATAAGTCAGGTTTTCTAAACCTTTTATCATTTTTGCTGCTCTCTTCTGGACTCTCTGTAATTTGTCCACATCTTTCCTCAAGTGTGAAGCCCAGAATTGGACACACAACTTCAGCTGAGCCCTCACCAGTGCTGAGTACAGCAGGAAAATTACCTCCCATGTCTTATGCACGAGACACCTGTTAATACACCCCTGAATTATATTAGCTTTTTTTTTTTTTTTTGCAACTGCATCACACTGTTGACTCATTCAATTTGTGATTCACTATAACCTCAGATCCTTTTCAGCAGCACTACTCTCTAGCCAGTTAGTCCCCACTTGATAGTTGTGCGTTTGATATTTTTCCTTCCCAAGTGAAGTCCTATGCATTTCTTTATTTAATCTCATCTTGTTGAATTCAGACCAATTCTCAATTTTGTCAAGGTCATTTTGAATTTGAATTCTGTCCTCCAAAGTACTCGCAATCTTTCTAGCTTGGTGTCATCTACAAATGTTACAAGCATACTCTCCACTCCATTATCAAGTCATTAATGAAAATATTGAATAGTATGGGACACCAGTAGATATATCCTCCCAGTTGGAAAGCAAACCATTGATAACTATTCTTTGAGTACAATCTTTCAGCCAGGTTGTGCACCCACCTCATAGTAATTTAATGTAGGCCATATTTCCCTAGTTTGCTTATGAGAATGTCATGTGGGATTGTGTCAAAAGCCTTCTTAAAATCAAGATATATCACATCTGCTACTTCCCACCATCCATTATGCCAGTAACCCTGTCAAAGAGGGAAATTAGGTTGGTTTGGCATGTTCTTGACAAATCTATGCTGGCTATTCCTTATAAGGTTGTTATCCTCTAGGACAGTAGTTCTCAACCTATTTACCATTGTGGATCACACATGTGACCCATAATATGTTACTTGAGCCGCATCCAATACTACCTGCATTGCCCTGAGGATGTCACATGGGCCGCAGCTCTGTGCTAATTGGGCCACAGGTTGAGTAGTGAGGATGGTGGTTATTCCAATGGTTAATGACCTTTGGTGTTAAAATTTTGCATCTTATTTCCTGTCTGAATTTGTCTGACAATTTTTAAATCAAGGTTGGATTTACTTTTTTTAAATATAAGCTCAAATTCAAATGGAATTATTTTGGGAAAGTTCTAAGGCCTGTGTTATACATAAACTTGGAAGGATTAGATTTTTATCAGTAAATGTTGGAAATGTCGATTTTTGCCAAACTGGTGGAAAAAAATATTTCCGATGATGATGATAGAATTTGACAGACAAAGTAAGAAAAATACTGCTTGTAAGCTACAGGTTGATTTTAGGATATTGACTTTCTTTTGACACGTGATGTTAACAGTTTGTGTTTTAACAGCGGTAAAGCTTTAACTTTTTGAATCTCAATGTCTACTGTCATTAAATAATTGTCCCCCCTATAACTTCCCACAGCTGTCAACATTTAAATAGATTAAAAATTGGAAAAATGCTTCTTAAAACCCATAATTTGCACAACTGTGGAAACTTAAATTGAGGGGGGAAATGCTTAAAATAAACATCAGTATTATCTGTCTAAATTGCAAATAAATAATTGAATTCTGCCAAGCCTCCTTAAAACCCATAATTTTATACAGGAGGTCAGACTAGATGATCTCAGTGGTGCTTTCTGACATTAGAATCTATGAGCAGTGCCCCCGATCAACTGCCCAGCCACTGCACTGTCCAGGCATCCAGCCTACACATTGTTAGTACAGTATACGCTGGGGGTGGCTTCTTTTTAGGGTGAGAAAGAAAAAGGAGGCTGCGCAGGCCTCTTTGGGAAGAGGTTTTCTTTGTTGGGTTGGTCCCTCTTAGATGAGGTGTGGAAGTTTTAAGCTTCTGAGGTACACTGAGGGGCTTTTCTAGGATGGGGTGATGTGTGGCTTGTTTGGTTTCCTTTCTTTTAGGTTTGGGACATGTATGGAGTCTTCTTTGCCAACCACCCTGACCTGAGGCGAATTCTAACAGACTATGGGTTTGAGGGCCACCCATTTCGGAAGGACTTTCCACTCTCCGGATATGTAGAGGTATGAAGAATTCTGGTTCACTCTGCATTCAGAAAGCCATCTATGCTTCAGAGTTGGGCCATGGCTGTTATGGAACTCTGAAGTGTTTCCTTAATAATCGTTTCAATTTTCTCAGTCCCTTTCAGGCACTGTGTATATCCCCCCTAGAATTTAGCCAACACACCACACCCTGCATAATAGGGGAATTTGGGGCCAGAGACACAGGGTAAACCTTTCCTCTTACACAAGAGTAGCAAGAAATTTTGCTTTCATGGCAAAGAAGACAGGACTGTCTACTTTTAATGCTCCATCCAAAACATCGAACTCATTCCCACGGAATGGCTGAAGACTAAGTTTAACTCCCTCAGAGGGTTTAATGATTGAGCTGATCTTTCTGGAACCTCTGTTTCCAGGGAGTCAAGGTGTTTCAAATCTAATGGCAAAGCAACAAAGCCATCACGTTTAGCTGCCTCAGCTTTCTTCACACATTCCATTCCTCTAACCTAGATTTTTATCTAGATTAAAATACAAATGAAATGAGTTTGTTTGGTCTCCACCTCGTTCCAAGTGACTGCATCACAAAGCTTAGTATTTTTGCACAATTGAATCTGGGGACTAGAAGAGAAGGGACTGCAGGTCAGGATTAGGTGCATTAACTTTGTTTTGAGAGGTGGAACAGAACTGAATAGCAGAAGGTGCTGTAGGAAAGGACATCTGCAGAGCTGAGGATGGGAAATCAGGACTGGAATAGCAAGGGATCAGGCTTGATGTGTGTGACAGAGCTGGATGGTACACACCTGCACCTTGCCTGATTCTCCTTATCCATGTGTCCTGAGCTCTCATGAGCTTTGAACTAAAAACTGGAGTGAGCAGTTTTATTTGGCTAACAGAAGAAGCTGCTCAGTGGCTGGGAACAAGCCATGGTGACCAGCTGGTTTTTGCCCCGTTGCAGGTGCGGTATGATGATGAGGTGAAACGGGTGGTGGCAGAGCCTGTGGAGCTGGCTCAGGAGTTCCGCAAATTCGATCTGAACAGTCCCTGGGAGACGTTTCCTGCCTATCGCACAGCTCCAGAGACCCTGAAACTAGAAGCAGGAGACAAGAAAGGAGATGCAAAATAGCAGCAGGACCAAGAGGATGCTGGGAACTTCCTGTGTGGCACTGACCTTCCTGTTCTACCTTCATATTTATATGAATAAAACCTGACATGAGACCCTTGTCTGTGAACTCGTGATTGGAAAATACAGGTTTCTAATTGGCTGAACAGCACCTGGGATTGTTTGTCTTTCATTAACTGTAAAATGTAAAATCACTTACAGAAAAAAAAAATCATAAACTGTGTGGGACTGCTATGAGGAAGAACTAGGGCGGGGACTAGAGCATAGAAAGGATGCTCTAAGGGGAGCAGATAATGCGGAACTCAAATGTCCTCTTTCTATTTAATTAACTGATGTGGAAAGAACATAACCTGTTGATACGTTAAATGGATTGAAAACCAGCTAATTGACAGGTCTCAACAAGCAATTACAAATAGGGATTTATCAAGCGAGTGAGTTTCTAGTGGGGTCCTGCCAAGCTCAGTTCTTGGGCCTATGCTGTTTAACATTTTTATCAATGTCCTGGAAGAAAATATAAAATCATCACTGACAGTTTGCAGATGACCCACAGATTGGGGGAAGTGGTAAATAATGAAGAGAATAGATCACTGCTACAGAGTGATCTGGATCATGTGGTAAATTGGGCACAAGCAAACTACTGTGTTTTAAAACTCATAATATTAATGTGAAGTTCTACACCTTGGCTTACGTTCTTTGTTCCTTTCTTATAGGTTGGGGGACTCTATCCTGGGAAGCAGTGACTGGAAAAATAATGCAATTCTTGAATGTGTAAGGAGGGGAATATTGAGTAGGAAGGCTATATTAGCTCTTTATTTGGCACTGGGTGAACTGCTGCTGGAATACTCTGTCCAGTTCTGTTGTCCACAGTTCAAGAATGATATTGATAAATTGGAGAGAGATCAAAGAAGAGCCATGACAATGATTAAAGGATAAGAAAACATGCCTTATGGTGACAGACTCGAGCTCAATCTGTTTAGCTTAAGAAAGAGGTTAAAGGGTAACTTAATTACAGTCTATAGGTACCTATGTGAGGATCAAAATATGATAATGGGCCCTTCAATTTAACAGTTGGAAGTTGAAGCTAGACAAATTTAGACTGGAAACAAGGTGAAAATTTTTAACGGTCTTGATAATTATCCATTGGAACAATGGAAGATATGCTTTCTTCCCTACTGTATGCTCGTGAGCATTGGTTTTGTTTTGTTTTGGCTTTCTTTAGGCTGCTGCAACTCCTTGTGTTTGGGACTTGACTTAGAGCTGCCTTGTCTAGTGAAGGACAGTTGTCTTCAGCATAGTCATGAAAAGTTATGGCTTTTCTTGTGAGAGGGAAGCAGTAGTCAGAGCAGTCAACAGGCCTTCTAGGTTTTATACAATTCCCAGCTTTGCTTTAAGCCTACACATCCCATCATCTGAGGTGATTAGGTAGAAAATATTCTTGTGGCCACTGCTAGAAACATGACCTATAAAACATGACCTGGTGCTGTTGTTTGGTGGGAATATAGAAAGCTATGGGTCAGCATGTATTGTGCTAGAAGTAGTAGTTTTGGCAGTTTATCCATTATTGCAGATAGAACTTCATAAAGCGTGCTCCCTGCTGCAACCCCACAAAGTTGCTTGGGGCATAGTACCATGAACCATAGTACATGTAGCCTTTTGATAATGTGACTGTGATAAGCCAGAAAAATGAGGGATGGTCACTGAAACAGAAGGAAAACTCTTGCATGAGTGGGGAGCTTGAGTGAGATGGGCAAGAAGTGCAGGGCCCTGCCAAGCTAAGACATAATGCTAGGACTGCTAAAGGAAGTGGTGGTAGAGTCCAAACCGCTGTCCTAATGGAGTCAGAGCACAGCACTTGGCTTAAGGACAAGCTCTTGGCTACCCACAGATTCATAGATACTAAGGTCAGAAGGGACCATTATTGAGTCCTGTACAACACAGGCCACAGAATCTCACCCACCCGGTCCTGCGAAAAACCTCTCACCTATGTCTGAGCTATTGAAGTCCTCAAATCGTGGTTTAAAGACTTCAAGGAGCAGAGAATCCTCCGGCAAGTAACCCATGCTACAGGGGAAGGCGAAAAATCTCCAGGGCCTCTTCCAATCTGCCCTGGAGGAAGATTCCTTACTGACACCAAATATGGCGATCAGCTAAACTCTGAGCATATGGGCAAGATTCACCAGCCAGATACTACAGAAAATTCTTTCCTGGGTAACTCAGATCCCACCTCATCTAACATCCCATCACAGGCCATTGGGCCTATTTACCATGAATATTTAAAGATCAATTAATTACCAAAATCATGTTATCCCATCATACCATCTCCTCCATAAACTTATCGAGTTTAATCTTATCCAGAGTATTTACTGAGGAAACTAGGGTTATGACTGGGGCCAAATCCTTTCTGGTGAGAGAAAGCTGGGGCTTTATAACAGTGTAAAACCATGCCTGTAGCTGCAGCCTACTCACTCATCCATGCTATCCTTGGAGACTACAAGGCCTCACTTAGTGCTGCTCAGACTAGTGACTAAAGTGCTGGTGGAGCTGGAAGGGGTAGTATGTAACAATAAGGGAGAGGAGTCATGACCTAATGTTGGTTGGACCAATGAGAGATGGATTTGCATTGCCTTGAAATATTTCAAGTTCTGTGGGAAATGTACATTTTTTTCCTCCACTGGAGAGCATGAACCCAAAGTTGTCCATGCTCAGGTGTCTTCAGAGCCCTGACTGGTAGGGACTGGTAGATCCCACTGGAGGAACAGACCAACTTTCCTCACAGCAGCTGTTTGAAATGCTTTGGGATTGCTACTGACCCTGACAAATGCTAGCATGAATTAGCATAGCAAGACCCAGTGCAGTGATCTGATCTACTTACAGATGCACAGAAGAGGAGCAGCCAGAGAATGCTGATAGCTTTACCTGAGTTTCTGCCTTAAAATCAACAAAGAAAAAAATATAAATTATAACTAAATACCCTCCTGCGGCAGTGGTTCTCAAACCGATACGTGGAGAATTTGCTGGTGCTCCACAGGTAACTGCCTGATCACATACTGCCAACTTCCACCCCAGTGCTAAATTGCATTAAAATCACCTAAATATTTTCCTAACACTAATTTTGTATGCCAGCAACTGCTGTAGTTATTGCAAGCAGAGGATGTAATGGCAAAGGGGAGAAGGGGAGGTGTGCTCAAGACAATCTCTACTACAATGTTCACTCTCCAAAAATGGTTGAGAGATCCCATCCTAGATTAAAGGGTTTAACAAGGAGTAACTGGATCTGAAGCAAGTGAGGAAGAGTAGCCTGACTTCAGAAATCCAGGGCTATTGTAAAAATACAGCCTCCTTTTCTAGCCAAACTGTAGGCAAAAACAGTTTCCCTTAGGAGAGAGATTCAGAGCCTCCCTATTCCTAAGCCACTGGACTTTCTGTGGATCACAAATACCTCTTCCATTGGGTGGTATCTCCTTTGTAGCTAATGCAACCATATTAACTGTCAGTGGCAGCCCTAGGCCCATGCAGCTGCATAAGGCCCTGTGCTACATGCTCAGACCCAAACCACCAGCCAGAGCATTAGCTCTGAGCCTCAGTACAATAGTCTAACTGATTCTGGTGGCAGCATATACATCAGAGTGGAATCTTCTGTCCTGCTAAAAAGGTGTATACTTCAGTTCTACCTCCTGTCTTCCTAACCTAGGTTTGTTTGTTTTTTTTCCAGAGGTCACAGAGCCTTAGCATGAGTGGGATTGTAAATGAGGAAAGAGGCTGTCAGGGGTGCACAGGGGTAGAGACCTGGTAATAGCTGGGGAGTGATCTAGGTGGGATTTTGTGTATATATAACTACAAAACTCAAGGCTGGTATTGTTTATTGAGATGAAGAAGTCAATCACACAAGTGGACAGTGAGTTAACTGAAGGCTGATTAACCAATTTATTTGAGCATGAGCTTTCGTGAGCTACAGCTCACTTCATCGGATGCATACCGTGGAAACTGCTCCAACCCCTCAGACAGAGACAAACACCTACAAGATCTCTGTCAAGCTTTCTTACAACTACAATACCCACCTGCGGAAGTGAAGAAACAGATTGATAGAGCCAGAAGAGTTCCCAGAAGTCACCTACTACAGGACAGGCCTAACAAAGAAAATAACAGAACGCCACTAGCCGTCACCTTCAGCCCCCAACTAAAACCCCTCCAACACATTATTAAGGATCTACAACCTATCCTGAAGGATGACCCAACACTCTCACAAATCTTGGGAGACAGGCCAGTCCTTGCCTACAGACAGCCCCGCAACCTGAAGCAAATACTCACCAACAACCACATACCACACAACAGAACCACTAACCCAGGAACTTATCCTTGCAACAAAGCCCGTTGCCTACTGTGCCCACATATCTATTCAGGGGACACTATCACAGGGCCTAATAACATCAGCCACACTATCAGAGGCTCGTTCACCTGCACATCCACCAATGTGATATATGCCATCATGTGCCAGCAATGCCCCTCTGCCATTTACATTGGTCAAACTGGACAGTCTCTACGTAAAAGAATAAATGGACACAAATCAGATGTCAAGAATTATAACATTCATAAACCAGTCGGAGAACACTTCAATCTCTCTGGTCACGCAATCACAGACATGAAGGTCGCTATCTTAAAACAAAAAAACTTCAAATCCAGACTCCAGCGAGAAACTGCTGAATTGGAATTCATTTGCAGATTGGGTACTATTAATTTAGGCTTAAATAGAGACTGGGAGTGGCTAAGTCATTATGCAAGGTAGCCTATTTCCCCTTGTTTTTTCCTCCCCCCCGCCCCCCCCGAGACGTTCTGGTTAAACTTGGAGAGTGGTCAGTTTGGATGAGCTATTGCCAGCCGGAGAGTGAGTTTGTGTGTGTGTGTCCCCGAGAAAAGGGGGGGGGGGGTGAGAGAGCCTGGATTTGTGCTGGAAATGGCTCACCTTGATTACCATGCACATTGTAGGGAGAGTGGTCACTTTGGATGAGCTATTACCAGCAGGAGAGTGAGTTTGTGTGTGTATGGGGGTGGGGGGGTGAGAAAACCTGGATTTGTGCTGGAAATGGCCCACCTTGATTATCATGCACATTGTAGGGAGAGTGGTCACTTTGGATAAGCTATTACCAGCAGGAGAGTGAGTTTGTGTGTGTGGTTTTTGGAGGGGAGTGAGGGGGTGAGAGAACCTGGATTTGTGCAGGAAATGGCCCACCTTGATTATCATACACATTGTGAAGAGAGTTGTCACTTTGGATGGGCTATTACCAGCAGGAGAGTAAGTTAGTGTGGGGGGGGTGGGGTGAGAAAACCTGGATTTGTGCTGGAAATGGCCCAACTTGATGATCACTTTAGATAAGCTATTACCAGCAGGACAGTGGGGTGGGAGGAGGTATTGTTTCATGATCTCTGTGTGTATATAATGTCTGCTGCAGTTTCCACGGTATGCATCCGATGAAGTGAGCTGTAGCTCACGAAAGCTCATGCTCAAATAAATTGGTTAGTCTCTAAGGTGCCACAAGTACTCCTTTTCTTTTTGCAAATACAGACTAACATGGCTGTTACTCTGAAACCTGAAGGCTGATTGGCTTTTGTCTTTGTTGTCTGACAGATCATTGTACTAAACTTTCCCTCCAGGGAGGTTTCTACAGTTGAAAGAATGACCTTTCCTTTGTCGGCCTGTATATCTTGGATGCTGTTGTCCTGCTGCGGAGCCTATACAGGCTGCCAGCCCCATCCTGCTGTGACATTTCAAGATTGTTTTTGAAATTCCAAACTCAGTAAGTGGAAAATTTAAAAGAAAGCCAAGGAGCTTAGGAGAAACATCTGGGGGGAGGGTATCCACACTCTACAGTGAAATTAGATTAAACTCCAGTTTGTCATGTGTTTAAATGGAAAATCCCTTGGAATTAGAAACTTCCCATTAAAATACTTAGGTGGGAAAAAATCAGAATTTGGAAAAGAGGCTTTAAGAATTTTGCCAAAAACTAAACAACAAAGTCTTAAAGTTTCCAGATTGCAATGGAAAATACCCTTTGGGAACAGAGAATTCAACAGCAGGCCCTTCCCAGGACTGGATTCAGAGAGAGGGAGAAGGGAGGATCCATTCCAGCAGAGGCTGCTGTGATCAGACAAAGGGAGGAGAGAAGCCACAGTAAACAGCTCTCCCTTCACCCAAGACATTTATCTACAGAACAGGTGGGGACCCTTATCTGGCATGGCACTCCTGCTCCAGCCGCAGCTCAGAGCCTGGCTGTGGACAGCACTGGTCCTCTATGTGTTTGCTGGATCCTGGAGGCAGACAGGTAGGAGGTGCACCTGCAAGGGAGGAGGCTGCTCTGCAAAACAAATGTGTTTGGGCAGTTCCACTGGTGCTGGATTTTACCTAATTCCCCAAATAGGCCGGTGGGCTGGCTGTCCTGACAACTTTCTGTGAGAGAGTAAATGAATTGTGCTCCATGTTGGACTCTATTCTGACTGAGGGAAGAGGGATGGCAGAGTTTGTCTCCAGAGAAGTTTGAGAGTGCTCTACTATTTATTTATACTACTTATTTGTCCCCCCAAATGCCTTTTATGCCCTTACAGTCTTTGTTGACACTACATCTTTCAAAATCAGAGGGTCACCTGCTGAATTGTTTCCTATGAAATACCCAGCTGTCCCCGGGTGAGAGATAACTCTTGGAGGCAGAAGGACAGACTCCTTCAGCCCCTGCTGAAGAAAGTTTTTCCAGGTGCCTTTACAAGGCTGTTGATTAGAAAAGACTGTGAGGGAAGCCTTGTGAGAAGAGCTTCTATTTCTGAAGAACATTGGGCCAATTATTTTCATACGTTTCTTATGTTTTATTTATGTATGTTTTACTCTACCTTCTACACTGACACTGGAATGTATTTTTAAAATATTAGTAAGAGTGATTAGGGGGTTATTCTGTTGGTTCATTGAAACCCTGCAGTTGGCTGGATGTCCCCAACTATAGAGATCTGTGCATTTAGCTGTGATCAGAATAGGCAGAAGGTGAAATGGGAATCAAGTAGCCACTAGAAGTCTAGAAAAGCAGCTCTTAGAGGGTGCAGTATCTTTACCTGAGCTACAAGCCTTGCTGGAATGTGCACCGAGGAGACGGAAACAGCAGCTCAAATCCCAGCTAACATTCTGAAAGCACATCTGGCTTTGATCAGGCAGCCTGCAGCTGTGTAGAGAAATGAGCCTTTCCTCAGGCAGAAGGGAAAGCAGTATCCATCTCTGAACAGCTCCTACCATCCCCAGGGGGAGCTTTCCTCCAGAATGGAAAGTTGGAAGCTGGTTTTGATAGCAGCACCATACAACTAAAAGATTAAATCACATTTCTGTTTGTTATGTGCACCTGCTAATTTTAACACTTCAGATCCCACAGAAAGATATGCTGAGTACTTATGACTAGTTTATCCAACATCAGCTCTGCCTCCTTTCTCCTCACATGAGAACCAGAAGATTCCCTCCCCGCCCAAAAAGACAGCCAGCCTCCCATTCCCTATCTCCTGCTGCCAGCACTGCTTTTCTGCACACAGAAATTCTGTGTTCCATGCTGGTTGTCTCCTAATCCTGGCCCACCCAATGTGATCCTGCTTCCTCCTCCCTGGCCTGAAGGAGTCTGGAACTGGTAGAAGGGGAGTTAGTATACATTAGCACACAGGCCAAGAGAAGAGGGAGGGCTGTGCCTCAGAATCCTAGTTTAGTGCTACCTTCCAGTGGTCAGAAACTCTCCCTCCCTGATGCAGCATTAACCTCCCTCAGCTTAAATCCCCAGGTGACATCCATCCAGGAATTAGCTGGTCTCCTAATGGTTAATCACTTCACTGCACAATATGAATTCCTGGAGGCTGATGCTACAAAACAGTCATGGAAGGAGATCGATTCAGAATCTTTCTCAGACCAAATGGGACAGATACAAATCCCAGCATGGAGGGTTTTCCCACAGGCTTATCAAAGCAGATACTTTTGCTCGCTAACATGGCAGGTCCAGAATGATACTGGCTAGGAGTAAGGAAGGGGTCAATGTCCTGAAACCTTCCTTTTCCTTTCTTGAACTTGCTTTATCTCCCTGATAAAACCCCAATTCTGCTCCCCCAAATCCAACGGTTAGACTATTTGGCACTTAAGGTACATCTACACAGCAGCTGGGAGGTGTAATTCCCGGGGTGGGTGGGGGGGGTAGACATAAACATGTTAGCTTTGTTCAAGCTAGTGTCTAAAAGTAGCTGTGTGGCTCTGGCAGTATCAGGGATGGCTAGCCTGAGCTGCTGCAGCCATGCTGCTATTTTTAAGCACTAGCTCCAGGAGAGCTATCAGCTGTATGTCTACACATGCTGAGAATTACACCTGTATAAATATACAGCTGCTGTATATTTATACCTTTAAATACCACAGGCATAGGCACCTCAGAAATATCAAAGATAGACAGACAGACATGGTTACTGAGACTCAATAGGAAGGGTGCGCTAAGCTGTTGCTCTCTGAAGCTCTGTGGCTCTTTAATGTTTTCCAGATGGGCAGCTTCACACCGAGGACCATGCTGATGTGAATGTGTTTCATAACAATCTGGAGGATGCCAACGTCATGCTAGAGGTTATTTGGGTTATGCTGTGGGGCTTGTGGGAAAGGATGAGAGTGTGTGAGCTCCTGTCGGGAGATTCTACCCAGTCCAGCTTTAAACACCCAAATGTTCCGCTAGTTCTCATTGCTTTTCTATTTCAGGAGACTCTAGAACAGGGGTTCTCAAACTGGGGGTCAGGACCCCTCAGGGGGTTGCAGGGTCATTACATGGGAGGTTGCGAGCTGTCAACCTCCACCCCAAATCCCGCTTTGCCTTCAGCATTTATAATGGTGTTAAATATATAAAAAAGTGTGTTTAATTTATAAGGGAGGGTCGCACTCAGAGGCTTGCTATGTGAAAGGGGTCACCAGTACAAAAGTTTGAGAGCCACTGCTCTGGAAGATGCCTTAGTGTACATCTCGGCAAAGTCACTGCCATATTGAATGAGACGAGTGAGGTCCAACTAGTCCAGCACCCTGTCTCTGTTGGTAGCCAGCACCAAATGCTTCAGAGGAAACCCCACAATGGATAATTATGGAATAACTTTCCTTAATCCCTGTAGTTACTGGTTGGCTTATGCTCTGAGGAAGGAAGGTTTAATTATGACATGTTTAGGGGGGTGAGTAGGGGAGTGATAAGTGAATGGGACAGGTCATTCTGCAGTAGCAGTGCTTATTCAAATGAACTGAGAGAAAGCAGATAGGAAGAAGCCCACTGAGCAAGGACAGAAGGTAGCCAGCTTGGTGCCAGGGTTAAGGGGTAGACTTACCTGAGAGTTCTGGCTTCCTGGTCAGCCCAGTCCTTGAACTTCTTGATGGGACAATAGGGGATACCCAGTGTTGCGGGAACCAGAGTTGGTCCCAGGATATTATAGAGACAAGGGGGGGAAGGGGGAGCTAATATCTTTTAATTCACACAGAGTTTTCTTCAGGCCCCTCTCCCCAGCAGAAGTTGGTCCAATAAAAGCCGTTACCTCCCCTTCCTTGCCCATCTCATAAGGTGTACACAAAAGCAAAGCTTCTCGTCGTCACAACACGTCCCACAAGGTGGCGCCTTTGGGCTGATCCTGCTGATGGTGGGTGGATGAATAAACGCGCCGCGGGCGGGCGCCGGGTAGAGCCTGGGCCTGGGCAGCGCGCAGGGAGCGCGAGGGCGCTCAGAGCTGCCGCGAGCTGAACTGTATTTCCAGCGACGATTGTCCCAAAGGGCGGTCACCAACCTCGGGGCTGGCCTGCGCCGGGCACCGCTGTAGCGAAGTGCAGACTCCCACCGGGACTCGGGGCACTGGGCAGCTCAGATCGCGAGGATCCCCCCCTCTCCCCCAGGGTGACCAGATTCAACAGAGAAAATAACGGGACACATGGGGGGAAGCGCAAAAAAAAAAAAAAAAAAAAAAAAAGTGGCCGGAGTTGGCGAAGCAAAACAAAACACGCCGGAGCGGCCAAAGCCGCGATATCGGGACAAATGGTGCCCCGACTGTGCATCGGTCGGGACGCGGGACGAAGACCTAAAACTCGGGACAGTCCCGATTTTACCGCAGCGCCCGTCTACCCCGCGCCCGCAGCGAGGACGCAGCTTGGATCAGGGTGCTTGGCCCTGTGCTGCCTGTTCCTCTCTGCCGGAGAGCCGGTGGGGCCAGGGGCCCAGGCCCGCGTGATGCGCCCTGCCCTGCTGTTCTGCTCCCGAGGACGGGGGACAGGCAGGGAGATGTGAACTCTGCCCGGGGAGAGAGGACACAGCTACAACAGAAAGAACATCCAGGGGCTAACAGCTGGGTGCCTGCTGCGCCCGACGAGGAGAAAGCAGCAGATGCTGCCTGGCTTCCCCGAAGCTAAGGGGAAAGGCCAGATACAAAGTGGGGGAGGAGGAGGACACATGGAACAGGGATGTAGACAACTGGAGGTTTGAGGAGAGGCAGCCATCTCCCACCCCCAAATGTAGGGATTACATTAACAAAGGCAACGCTGAATTTGGAACAGAAGCTTATTAACAGTGGACAAATTTTGTCCCTACGAAACTCATGAAAGCAATATTCAACTGTCACAGTGTTTTTTTCTCTCTGGCTCCCCCATATGAAAAAATGGTCTTTGCCCCTGTCGAACACAGAGAAGTGCCGTGCAAGAGACAGAAACAGGGAACTTCAGGGAGCAAGTTAGGGAAGGAGGGAGGAGAGCTGGCCCTCAGAGGGAGGTAAGAGGAGTTGCTGCCCAAAGATGTCAGATGCGGCTAAAGCATGGCCAGCCCTTGTGATACTACCCTGACTCATGATTCTGGGGGCTGGTTTTAAGCTGCTCAGGATCCTAGCAATAACTTCTCTGTGATTTCCCTTCTCCCCTCATAATAAAATTAGCCACCCTCTCCCATTATTTTGAATGGTTTGGAAGCCAGGCTATCCTTGGCTAATATGATCAGGCAGGCTGCTATGAGGAGCAAATGAAGTGAGGAGTGAGGGAGGGGGATAAAGAGGTTAATGTAGAAGCCTGGAAGAGAGACCAAGAAGGAGTCAGACATGTACAGGCTGGACAGAGATGTTGTTGGGTATAGGGGAATGTGGGGAGGGGAGGCAAGAGAAGAGCACCATAGGAGGCAGGGGAACTATGGGATCAGAAAGGAAGAACAGGGCAGATGAGAGGAACTGGTTGGGGAGGTCAAGGATAGGGTGGGAGACAGACATGCAGGAGCCTGAAAACAAAATATAATTTGTTTGTTCAAATGTCCATGGTTTTACCTTTAGCAATCATCTTTGCCTATTGTACTGCATACCCCACACATCCCCCTCCCCGACCTCCTTTATACAATCCTGGATTTGCTAGGGGTGGCAGATCTCTTCATAATCCCTGCAGGGGACCCTCAATTGCGGGACAGTGGTTGGCCCTAGACTTCCTGCTCTCATAGTGCCCTTCTCTTTCAGTTGCTCTGGGAAGGACTGGAGATTGAGGCTAACAAGACAATCAGGCTGCAGGATGAGGAACTGGCCTCTCTGCGCCCAGCAAAGCGATTTCTCCAGATCTTCCAGCACCAGGTTCCCAAGACATCAGAAGGGATCAAGGAGCAGCTGAAACATCTTTCACAGGCAGATGCCCCTCTGAGTCTAGTAGAGTTTGATCAGCTTCTCTTCACCAGCGTTTACTGCGCTTATCAGATTCGCTCAATTCAGGGCCTGGACAAAAATCTCTGGATCAGTTTCTTTTCTCAGCTAGTTGATGAAATCCTCCATGATCTCTGCAAGGGATTCTGCCCTGCAAATTCCACTCTCCTGGCTTCCTGGCCCTGGAAGGAGAAGCCTTTTTATTTAACCTCACTGAAAAAGTCTTATCATTCCAGCCTGGCCATGATGAAGAGAGGCACTGAGTAAGGAGGTTGACATGAGGAGATTCAATTGCATTCTTATTATTATGAGTGCTGCCAGTCATCCCAGATTATGCTGGTTAATGTGCGGAAGTGCCACCATTCTTCCTCTTTTGCTTTCTGTATTGTACTGGCAACATTCTAGGCATTTATCCAACCAGCTATTGCCCCATCTTTAAATGTGAAACAAAGCCTGGGATGTCTTTTTAGGATCTCCATAGAAGACACACTTCTGAGATGCACTTCTGCCTTGATTACTGATGGCCATTAGAGATGTCACAGCACTTTTTGCAGAAGTCCAGGTATTAGCCTGTAATGGCTGAATTCCATTTCAGGTAATTCCATTTTGCCTCCCTAAATTCCCTGTGGTTGCAGTTGGATATAGTATTTTTCCTTTACTACAATAACTCACTGTATAGCATAGTTGTGCTGTTCATACAGCTGCTGTGTTCCACTTCATAGGTGGCTACACTCTGTGGTGATTCATATTAAGTTCTGACTCATTTTATGTCATCCCATGCCAGGTGCCTGGAACAGTTTCCCAAGTAATGTGCACCCATTTCCTTCCAAAAACTCCTGAAAATGTACTGATTCCATGAACCCTTCTGGTATAGATATCGTTCCCCATTTTGTATTAATACAGAGTGGGCATTTGCTTGTATCTCATCTACTAAACTTTTGAGGGTAGGGATCCAGTTATTTGTTCATCAGATTTTACCTCTTCTAGAGAGTCTTCTTCTACATCTGTGGCACTTTACAAATAAAGTAATTGGAACAATACTGTATATGTGCAATCATTATCTTTATAATCAGGAATTCAATCAATGTAGAGCTCAATTATGCTTCTTTGTCATACTCCTTGCAGCATGGTATTAGCAACATAAATTCAGTTAGTCCAGGTGAGTTTTATTGGTTTCTTGGTTTGTGCTGGGGCTCCCATTTACACTGTAGATGCACTAACCCTGAGCTTCTACAGCCTGCGCTTTGCTGGTTAGGGTCATACTTCCCACACAGTTTCACTAGACCAGAGGTGGGCAAACTATGGCCTGTGGGCCACATCCGGACCGTGGGACTGTTCTGCCCGGCCCCCGAGCTTTGCACTGGGGAGGCTAGCCGCCGGCTCCTCCCCCGCTGTCCCCCGTCCCCGACAGCCAGCACTCTGGGTGGCAGGGCTGCGCACTCCTGCAGGGCAGCACAGCAGCGTGTCTGGCTCCGGCCAGGCGGCGCGGCTGCCAGACATTCTGCTCTGAGCGGCATGGTAAGGGGGCTGGGATCGGGGTCCGGGGGTTGGATAAGGGGCAGGAAGTCCCAGGGGGCAGTCAGGGGACAAGGAGCAGGGGGCAGTTGGATGGGGTGGAGGTTCTGGGCGGGGGAGGGGGCGGGGGCTGGCGGTCAGGGGACAGGAAGTTGGATGGGGGTGGGGTCCTGGGGGGACGGTTAGGGTCAGGGGGTCTCAGGAGGGGGCGGTCAGGGGACAAGGAGCAGGGGGGTTGGATGGCTCGGGGGTTTTGAGGGGGGTAGTTACGGGGCAGGAAGTGGGAGGGAGCAGATGGGGGGGCGGGGGCCAGGCTGTTTCGGGAGGCACAGCCTTCCCTACCCAGCCCTCCATACAGTTTTGCAACCCTAATGTGGCCCTCGGGCCAAAAAGTTTGCCCACCTCTACACTAGACTCACAACTTCCACAGAGGAGCCACTTTCAGAAATGCATGTAGAGAATGACATTCCCAACAGCAACAATTAACTTTTGACCTAGTTTATATTTTTCACTCTCATTATCTGACAGATGGAGATGAAAAGCAGTAACCCAATAATGAGAGGCCCAGAAGCAAGATGTAGGTTTTGGGGCACAGAGAATGATTTTAAAGGTCAGAGTTACAGTTTTACAGGAGAACAGGGAGTTTGCAAAGCATAGATCTTGCAAAGCATGTAGAAATTGGGACCAGGGTCTTATTTGCATTCCAACTCCCGGAAACTGGGTATAAAATATAACTGCTGCCTCATGCTTTAATCGTACACTTCTTTGTATATCCCTAACCCTAACCTTTCACCCATTTATGGAAGTCACTTAGTCTTTTAAGGGTAAGATCTTGGTGGGGGTCTTGCAAATGAATGTAGTTGGGGTAGAGAACTTGAACATAAGGCTGGGTTTGGGTTTCACAAGACGGTGAAAGATTTGAGACCACAGTATTGCTAAGGCTTGAGTAAGGCTTCCAGGTGAGATGCAACTTTCTTGGTTGAGACTATGGGATTTGATATGAGGACCTCAGATAAGGAGGTACTGTCTGGGATTAGAGTTTTCATGGGTGGTTAGGGCAGAGGTTTTGTCTTCTCTTGAACAAAGACTGCCAATGAAGTCAAGTTGATGCCAAGTTTCAGCCAAAGTTTAGGCTGAGACCTATGAAACCTTATTGAATTTGGGAGCCAAGCCAACGTTTGTCACACAAGACATTAATCCCATAGCTCTTCAGGCGCTCCCTAATAGCCATTGCTCCGCTGAACTCTTGGGTTCCCACCACCTCTCACACTACTGTCCTACCACTGCCCTGAGCCCCCTGCAATCTTAGTGCCGTCCACACTGGTCTCTCTATTACAGGAGTGGGGCTCACTGAGACACAGTGTGGAGCAAAGGCAAGGACTATGAGAGGATGGACACTGAAATCACCTCTTAGAAGTACAGTGGTGGCTTCCCCCTAAGGCAGGGTTAGGTAGAGCAACAAGGAAACAACATGTTGTGTTATGAAGTCTAGCCACACTATAATGTTAAGAGTGCCCATTTCTTGGCAATGGTAGAGTTCAATACAGGCAGTATCACCATGCACATACTGACCTTTGCCATCCCCTAATGTTCAAAAATCATGAGCCAGGCACCTCCAAAATCAGGAGATTTTTAAAAATCATACACATTTTGGGTTATTTTTATTTGCCTTCTTGTTTAGGAGCCTTTAGGATATGCTTGGCTCATGTTTTCAAACTTTTCTCCATAACCACAAGAACTTGAAACGTAGTGGAGTGTTTTTGTTATGAAAGCCGAGATCACAGACAGACAGAATCTGTGAATTCCAGCAGCTGAAGCTTTAAGCAAAACACCATAGAATACCAGGGTTGGAAGGGACCTCAGGAGGTCATCTAGTTCAACCCCCTGCTCAAAGCAGGACCAATCCCCAATTTTTGCCCCAGATCCCAAATGGCCCCCTCAAGGATTGAACTCTCCACCCTGGGTTTAGCAGGCCAATGCTCAAACCACTGAACTATCCCTCCCCCCAGTACTGTATCATGAGATACTGTATCACGAGATTCACAACAAAATCATAAGAGTTGGCAATACTGGATTCCTCCTCCCACAAAATACAGACACTCTGGCACAGTGACATACAATCTAACTCTGTTTAACAGTCTTCACAACACAAACACATACAATAGTTCACACATTATCAGAGCCTCTCTCCTGTCCAGAATCAGTGTCACAGGCTGACACAGTGTCTCCTGTCCAGAATCATACACATAAGTCCAGCATCTTGTGAAACAATGTGTGTCTCTGCAAACCCTGCACATTTTATTTTTTTACTTTTATTAAATTAATTTCAATTACATTTTCCCTCCCCCAGCCTCCCTTGTATGTGCAAGGAATGTCACCAGGTGCTGTGCCTTCTTGGTGGGGTTGTCTTCAGTAGGTCTCCCAGCATTTCGGCAGTGGCTCCCTGAATCACAACACCTCATTTCACTGCTCATGCTCCCAAACTACCTTATGCTTTATGCTTAAATTGAACAGTAACACTGGACACACACTACCCCCTGCAAAGATCATTCTACAGATAAAAGACAGAAACAGCAATGGCCCTGCAGCCAGGACATGAGTATGCAGCATAAGGAAAGCACTGGATATACATTAGCATGCTCTTTAACATTGTAGAGGGTGACATCCAACCAGGACCTGCACCCAAGTCCACTGCATCTTGGCTTCTCTTATGCTCCTTTCACACCTGCATTTAGATTTTTGACCTCGTGGGGGAACTGGGACTTGGGGGTGGCTTTGGCTGAGCCTCTGGATAGATAAGGAACCCCGTGAAGGTGATGTACTTGCCATGGTTGCTGTAGGCACCGTAGCCATCATGCTGGTGGCTGTAGAGCCAGACAGTGTCTCCATAGTGCAGAGGTAACATAATGCTCTGGCTCTGCATCTCCCGCCTCTTGGAGTGGTTGTCATCATAGATCATGGCCTGAACCTCATTGTGGTTTTTCATAAGTTTCACTGACATGGTCTTAAAAGGCATTTTACCAATGGTGAAGGAGAAGTAATATGCACCTGGCACGCGGCATAAGAAGATGCCCCTTGAGGAATTGAAATCCCTTCCAATGTTCACAAACTCTATGTCAAATGTGATTGGCTCATGCTGGGTTTGCTTCTCATCTGTTCCCAGGAGGCTTTGTGAGCGAGCAACAGAAAATGCAGAGCGAGGATCTAGTTCTCTGGCTGGCTGATCGGACAACATGTGTCCCTCTGAAGCTTCATTCTGTTCTCCTGAAAGCTGATGAATAGCTGGATGGGGCAGCCCTGCAGCTCCCCCCAGCTCCTGAGAGACCACACCATTTTGGAAGTAGGCAGAGGTATCTGGATAGATAAGATACCCATTGAAAGTTGTGTATGGGCCTGCATTGCTGTAGAGCGCATACTTGGGGTCCCCATGTAAACGCAGCCAGACTGTATCTCCATAGTCCAGCTGAAGCATGGCACTCTGGCTAGCCAGTTTCCGCTCCTTACGGTGATGCTCATCATACACAATCACTTGCACTTCATTCTTGTTTCTCATCAGCATAACAGACAAGTTTTTCTTGGGGTATTTCCCAACCGTGAAGGAGAAGTAATAGGCCCCAGGGATCCGACACCTAAACAACCCAGCCTTGGGATCAAAGTCACTGCCAATGTTCACATAGACCTTGTCAAAGGTGATGACCATCTCAGCGCTCCCTTCCATGCTGCTGGTTCTAGCCACAGAGAAAGCAGAGCGGAACTCAGTCCCAGGATCGGTGGGGTAGCCATACACAAGGGTACAGGCCACATAGCACAGGAAGCTAAACAGGAGCTTATCTTTCAGGGCCATCATTATATCTGAAAAGAAAAAGGGAACACATTTTAGCGCAAGTATTTTCAACTTATACACCAAGTGAAACCCAGAATTGTACCTTGTTACATAGACTCCAGGGCCTGTCAGGCTTTGATGAGTCCTGAGTCCTATCTCTGATCAGTGTGAGTGAAAACAGACGCTCTAACTAAGCCCTGGGACCATGACTCAGTTCAGATCCCAGGGCTGTCTGCAGTCAGAGGTGGAGCTTCTAGTCCTGAACTCAGGGGCCTAAAAATCCCTTTGCTTTGAGAGCCTGGCAGCCTTCAGTGGTAACTTCATGGAGCCCTGCTGCTCACAGTACACAGAAATCTCAACCCTGATCAGGATTCTGGGAGGGCTCCTTCTGGAAACACTTTTATTTACAGGACTGAGATGCTATGATTAGGAAGCAACATTACCCTACATAAGCCTTGTACTATGCTAAAATGCAGCTGAGGAACATATGGTCTAGAGATTACCATGCAGATGTCACTGGGCAAGATTAGCCAAATGGCCTGATACAGCACTGGTTGCTTCAAAGGGTGTAGGAACTGTAAGCCAGGGAAGTTGGTGGACCCTGTTAATTAGACATCCTGCTTATGTCTACACTGCAATAGGATAAGCATAGGGTTCAAACTCAGGCCCTAACTCCCATTCTCGACACATAAATTGTGCTAACTCATGGCTCAGACCTAAAGACCCAGGACCCCATGGGGTGGAGGGTCTGAGCCTGATTCATGCCAGGACCCAGGGTTCAAGCCCTATTGCTTTGCAGTGTAGATGCAGTCACACTGGATTCATGATCTAGGAGTCCACCAAAAGTATCTCACAATCCCACAGGCCAATTTTCTTTGTCCTCTAGACAGTCAAGTTTAGCAGACAGTCAAGTTTTCCCACACTGCATCAAGAACATAGGGTTAAAGCAGCCACACTTTGGGAGGGCACGAGAAAGTCTGGGATATGGGTAGCTGGACTCAGGCCCACATAATGCAGTGTAGATACTGGAGCCCCAAGCTGGGAGCCCAGGTTTAACAATTCCTAATCTGGGGTTACAAATAAGTATAGATGCTCGAATCCTATGTTAACAAACCCAGGGTCTGCTAACTTGAGTTCTACTAACCCTGGGCTTACATTGCAGTGTAGATATACCCTTAATGTTGTTTACACTGCAGTACCACCTGAGTGCTGTACAGACATAGAAGAAGAGACACTCCCTTCCCTGAAGTGTTCACAAATTAACAAACAAAGGGAGGTGAAAGAAAGACCATGAACTGTACAATGCTTAAACTGATGATAGGCCAGGGTTAAATAGTTTTATTAAAATAGATATATTCATTTATCTTACATCAATTTGTTATATATATAAATTATCCCAAGCTGCCCCCCAGACTTGCCATTGGTTAATTATTTCTTGTAAGCATCATAGTAGAAGTTAGTTTCAAGCGAGGGATTTGAATGCAGAGAGCATAGTAGCTGTGGGAACCCAGTTCAGGAGAGCCGGGGCTCAGAGCTTGTGCTCCAGCCTGAGCCCGAATGTTTACATTGCAATTTTATAGCCCCCCAGCTTGAGCACTGCGAGCCTGAGTCAGCTGACACAGGCCAGTTGTGGGTGTGTTATTGCAGTATAGACATACCCCTATACACAGGTTGTGTAACTGCACTGAGTACCATGATGACTATGGCATCCATACTGGAATTTGGAATGGGAATGAAAGAAATGCTGAATCCTTTTCTGTCATCAGCTACATTAACCAGCATGGTTCTAACGTTCTGTCTTTGCTTCAAGGCTGACTCAGTGCATTTGGGAGTCAGAGGATCGGCTAGTGACAGCCCCCCTGGCAAAAGACACACACAGGGACTTTATCAGTTTAATAAACTCTTCAGTGAATTCTGACCTTATGTTGCCTCGAACAACAACTGACCGATTTCAATTCCAAAGCAGATTTCTCTGTAAAAAGGTCACTTTGGACACAAGGGGAAAGGGTTTCAGAGCCCAGGATCCAGCCCAAGCCCAAAATGTCTACACTGCAATTTTATAGCCCCTAAAACCAAGCCCCAAGAGCCCGAATCAGCTGACTCAGGCCAATGACAGGTCTTTTATCACAGTGTGGACATAACCAGCTGCAGCAGAGTTTCTGATTTCACTTTATTAGCTCTTCCCAATAACTCACTAGTAAATTATTTAAATAAAGAGGTTAATTATGCTGTGTTTCCAACAGCATGTGTTATTTCTATGACAACTCCCACTCACCACTCTCAGGATTATTTAGGTTACTTTTCTATTTAAAATCATTTAGAAAGTGTCTGGAGGGCACTGATACCAAAATACTAATGGCCAATTAAGCTGGAACACACCTCCCCCATATCACCTTGACACAATCAGAAAGTCCTCAGCCAGCTACAATGCTGTACTAAACAGAAATATCTTGCATCCTTTCTTGAACTCGGATGCTGTTGTAGTAAGAGTCTCAGCTAGGAACAACTAGAAGGCCCATCCATTATTCCAATAGGTCTTCTGATGTTTGTTAAATTTAAACCCACATTGGCATCTCTGTCTTGAACTTTTCCAGCAGATTGCCAGGGCAGTGCGTTTCAGTTCCAGCATGTGAAGCTAGTGATAGGCACTGCAGTTGCTGCCTTCAGGTCACTTTATGATATAGGCTCTGAAACTAAGGAGTAAGATGAACAATCCATAGTAGGAATAGAACCCAGGTCTCCAGAATGGACCACACAAGCTCTATCTCCAGGGCCACATAGTCTGTCTACTGCAGCACTCTCACTGCATTTGGGCACCAGTCAGGATTCTGGCCAACCCACTCTGCCCTCCCTTACCGCCAATAGCGCTGGCATATGTGGTGTCACCACAGAAGTGCACCATGAAAACCAATCAAATACAGGGGGACAAAGATACAGTGTTGCCTTGGAGCAGTCTATCCCACTAAGGAACAGTTGCCCATGGGGAAGAGTGGGAGAAGAGGCTTGAGACACCATAGCATGAAACAGGAATGAAGAACATGAAGACAAACTAAACTGCACAAAACATGCTCCAATTTCTAATTTTAAAAACACCATAGTAGAGGCTAAATGTATAACCCAAATAAAAAAAAACAGTAAGAGCACCAAAAATGCCACTGTGCCTAAACAACAGAGTAAAAGAGGTGATTAGAGACAAAAAGACATCTTTTAAAAATTGGAAGTTGGAAAATTGGAAATCGCAGTGAGAAGAATAGAAAGGCACAAACTCTGGCAACTCAAGTGTAAAAGTATAATTATGCAGGTCCAAAAAGAATATGAAGAGCAACTAGCAAAAGACTAAAAGTAAAACTGCAACAAAAATGTAAATACATAGCAGAAGCAGGAAGCTTGCTAAAAAATAAATGGGGCCACTGGACAATTTAGATGCTAAAGGAGCACACAAAGAAGACAAGCCCATTGCAGAGAAGCTAAATTAATTCTTTGCATCAATCTTCTCTGCAGAGGATGTAAAGGAGATTCCCACACCTAAGCCATTCTTTTTAAGTGACAAATTTGAGTAATTTTCCCAGAGTGAGGTGTCAACAGAGGATGTTTTGGAACAAATTAGTAAATTAAACAGTAATAAGTCACCAGGATCAGATGGTATTCACCCAAGATTTCTGAAGGAACTCAAATATGAAATTGCAGAACTACTATCTGTGGTACGTAACCTATTGCTTAAATCAGTCTCTGTACTAGATGGCTAATGTAATGCCATTTTTAAGAAAGGGTCCGAAGGCAATCCTGGTAATTACAGGCTGGTAAGCCTAACTTCAGTACTAGGTGAACTGGTTGAAACAACAGTAAAGAACAGAATTATCTGACACATAGATGAATGCTATTTGTTGGGGAAGAGTCAACATAGCTTTTGTAAAGGGAAATCATGCCTCACCAATCTATTAGAATTCTTTGAGAGTGTTGTCAAACATGTGACCAAGGGTGATGAAGTGGATATAGTGTACTTGGACTTTCAGAAAGTCTTTGACAAGGTCCATCACCAAAGATTCTTAAGCAAAGTAAGCAGTCATGGGATAAGAGAGAAGGTCCTTTCATGGATCTGTAACTGGTTAAAAGGCAGCAAACAAAGGGTGGGATCAAATGGTGAGTTTTCACAATGGAGAGGTGTAAATAGTGAGGTCCCCCAAGGATCTGTACTGGGACCAGTGCTGTTCATAAATGAGCTAGAAAAAGGGGTAAACAGTGCGGTGGTAAAGTTTTCAGACCATACAAAATTACTTAACACAGTTAAGCCCAAAAGCTGACTGCAAAGAGATCTCACAAAACTGGATGACTGGGCAACAGTCATGGCAGATGAAATTCAATGTTGATAAATGCAAAGTAATGCACATTGGAAAACATAATCCCAACTCTACATACAAAATGATGGGGTCTAAATGAGCTGTTACCACTGAAGAAAGAGATTGTGGCATCATTGTGGATATTTCTCTGAAAACATCTGTTCAGTGTGCAGCAGCAGTCAAAAAAGCTAACAGAATGTTAGGAACCATTAGGAAAGGGATAGATAATAAGACAGAAAATATCATAATGCCACTATATCCACTGCATGACCACATCTTGAATACTGCATGAAGTCCTGGTCACCCCATCTCAAAAAAAGATATATTAGAATTGGAAACTGTACAGAGAAAGGGTAACTACAAAAATGATGAAGGGTATGGAACAGCTTCCATATGAGGAGAAATTAAAAAGACTGGGACTGTTCAGCTTGGAAAAGAGACGAGTAAGGGGGGATAGGATAGAGGCCTATAAAATAATGAATGGTACGGAGAAAGTGAATAAGGAAGTGTTATTTGCCCTTAACATAATACTAGGACTAGGGATCACCCTATGAAATTAATAGGCAGCAAGTTTAAAACAAACATAAGGCAGCACTTTTTCACACAACACACAGTCAATCTGTGGAAATCATTGCCAGAGGATGCTGTGAAGAACAAAACTATATCGGGGTTCAAAAAAGAATTAGATAAGT